AGGGCGCCCTTCTGCTGTTTAACACCGAGATGAGGGGTTGGTGACCACAGACCTAGAACTACTACAACAACTTGCATTTGTATAGCATCTCAGAGCGGTTGACAGTGGTGGAGCATGGTGGGGGGTGACCGTAAGCACGGTCAAGGAGGAAGGTCTTCAGGCACGACTTGAAGATGGTGAGGTAGGGAGGGGGCAAGGCGGAGGGATTGAGGGAGAGTGTTCCATCGTTTCCGGGAGTAGTGGCTGAAAGCGCGGCTGTCGATGGTGGAAGTCTGTAACTAGTCTTAATCTGTAAAATCATTTAGCCTTAAAATTCTAAGACACTGCAGAAATGTAGACAATTCTTCAATTCAATCTTAATTTGGACCAACTTCCAGTTTTAATCCAAATTTACCAGTTTTCCACGGTTCTGTGTTATCTTTATTAATAAGATGAAATGTTCTGCAAAGGCTAAAACTAGGTATCAGGTGGCAAACTCTCCTCTGTCATCTGTGGGACCTGTTGGGCTGTATTTGTACTTGAGCCCAACAATAATACCAGATTTATATCAATCAGTTTATGTGCCAAACTCTGGACTTGAATATAAGCACCAGCTGCTGGGTTTTGCAAAACATTATGAAGAGTCATGATAATAATCCTTGCATTTAATCCAAGTGCATCCTTGCAATAATCCAAGCTCTGAGAATGATGCAAAAAGATTGCAACGGGATATAGATAGGCTCGGGGAGTGGGCGAGTAGGTGGCAGATGGAATTTAATGTGGGGAAGTGTGAAGTTATTCACCTAGGTAGAAAAAATAGAAAAACAGATTATTTTCTAGAGGGGGAGAGACTAAATAGTGTTAGTGTTCAGAGGGATTTGGGTGTCCTTGTGCACCAGTCTCAAAAAGTTAGTTTGCAGGTGCAGCAGCAACTAAGAAGGCGAATGGCATGTTAGCGTTCATTGCAAAAGGTTTAGAGTACAAGAGTAGGGAAGTCTTGCTGCAACTGTATAGGGCCCTGGTGAGACCGCACCAAGAGTATTGTGTGCAGTTTTGGTCTCCTTATTTAGAAAAGGACATACTTGCCCTCGAGGGGGTGCAGCGTAGGTTCACTCAGTTAGTTCCCGGGTTGTGGGGACTGACCTATGAGGAGAGGCTGAATAAACTAAGGCTGTATTCTCAAGAGTACAGAAGAATTAGGGGAGATCTTATTGAAACATATAAGATTCTTAAAGGGCTGATAAAGTAGACACTGAGGGACTGTTTCCCCTGGTAGGAGAATCTATAACCAGGGGTCACAGTCTGAAAATTAAGGGTCAGCCTTTTAGAACAGAGTTGAGGAAACATTTCTTCACTCAGAGGGTAATGAATTTATAGAATTCACTCCCCCAGAAGGCTGTAGATGTCAGTCCTTGAACATTTTCAAGGCTGACACTGATAGATTTTTAAAAAATAGAGGGATTGGGGGATATGGAGATAGGGCAGGTAATTAGAGTTAGGTCAGAAGATCAGCTATGATCTTATCGAATGTCGGGCCAGGCTCGAGGGGCTGAATTGCCTACTCCTGCTCCTAATTCTTATGTTCTTATGTTCTTATTTGATGTAGCACTTTATCCCGTCATCGAAATTTCTCAAAGGTCCATCTCACAGAATTGACAGTAAAGTGCATTCTCTGTGTAGCTGTTGGTGAGCACAGTACCTCAATGGAGTCTCAGTCAGCCTGAGCTCAAAGTCTTGACACAACAACAACTTGCATTTATATAGCACCCCTCACGACACGATAAGGCTCCATATCAAATGCAAGGATTATTATTACTGAACGGCCTTTTTTCTGCCAAACCTCTGATCATGACATTATGTCACTCGCTACAGTAACACACACGCACACTCGCACGGGGATTATTGAATACAATCCAACTTTGCTGAGTGGCGATTTCCTCTGAACAAACATTGAACACCTTTCCCCAAGCTCTCACAGTGAGCGCCAAGCACACATGTGGAACGAGTGACTAAAACGTGCCTCACTTGACTTGCTAAATTATGAACGTTTCATCAGATGTTCCTCTCGACTTTGTAAATTGGCTTAGTTTTCTCAAATGTTGGATTTTTCTTTTGCACAAGCACTCAAGCTGAGAGCTATCCCTGTTTGTTTGCTTTCCAATATTTTTTTGGCAGAGACTTTTGCAAGAAAAAAAAACATGTGTACTTTTAGAAATATCTAGGCTTCAGCTGTCTGACCTTGGGAAGCAGCCTGTAAAAAGCCACGAGACATTTACAGAATTGGCCACGTGACACCTTGATGTAACTTGATTCCAATTTCTCAAAGCTCGGAGACAATGGATGGATGCAACTGAGGAAAGAGATAATAATCCTTGAATTTGATACAGCGCCTCATCACGTCATCGAGACGACTCAAAGCACTTCACAGGATTTGACTGTAAAGTTTGCATATCCCGCAAACAGCCATGAAGTGAAAGACATATTTATTAGAATGGGGGGGGGGGGGGGGGGAGGTTGGCAAACGTATGCTTTCTATTTTAAAATGGGCTTTAAGAAGCTATTATAAAATATGCTTTTCACTGTCAAACCGCTGTTCCTTTTTAAACGTTGCTGCATAAAAACATTACAATAGTCTCACAGAAACTCATTCGGCAGAGAAATTACAAATCAGTAAGTGTCAATTAAGCAAATCACTAACATAAGCATTTAGTTGTGACCAATACAGAGTAAGTTCGCTCGGAAACTTTGTACAAAATACACAGTGACTACACTTTTCAGTAAACCCTGCGAAGCGCTTTGAGAGACGTCTTTCCGACGTTAAAGGAGCTGTACCAAATTAATATGGAGCCATCTGGCTAGAGGGAGCGCAGCAGGCTATTTCTTTGTAAGACACAGTAAAATATTTCCCATCTGCATTAGTCCCACTGTCAATAACGTGTACAAATATTCTAAAAAAAAAACTCGTCAGGCGGTGAAAGAAAACTCGAAACTTTTCATCTGGCGCTCAAGTGCGCCTCCCAGTGGATAATCAAAAACCCAGCCCCCCCCCCCCCACTCCCCCACCCACCCACCCACCCCCGTCCTCTGCAGGCTGGACCACATGTCACCAGCCAAACAAAGCATTGATGTTGTTGAGAGCAAAATTAAAAGAGAGATGAACTCACTCTGCAAGGGCAACATGTTGTCTTAAAAAGGTTAGAACGTCAGAGGAATGAATGCCACCCTACCCGTCTCGTAGCCGAGCAAATTAAAATGTTTTGCTGGTTGCAAAGTCATTAACGCTGTGCGTCGCGATTTTTTTGGGGGGAGGAATATTATTGCTTTTTAACAATCGTTCGCACAGTAGTAACGGGACGTGCCCACTGAAAACTATTTGATAAATGTCAAATGAAATAAAGTAATCAGCTGAAAGCAATTTGCATGGGCCCTGGGACTGCCAGAGGCTTATGATTTTCCTTCATTCATCTATCATGAAATACTGTTGCTAGCCAAAATACACAAAGCAGCAAAATTGCTGACATATGTAGACTGACTACAAAAAAAAAATCCACATTTTTTCCTGTGCCTGGGCAAAATAAACTTTTTTTTGTTTATTTGAAGATCGTGACATATTCTGCAGTTAGTTGTGATTTTTTAAAAAAAATTATAGAAATATATATAGTTCTCGCCGGTTTGAATTTGCAAGACAGAATTTGTTTCTTATCGGTAACAATGCAAAGGAAAGACATTCTATTATTTGCCATTGAATAACACAAACAGTAACATTTGATATCTCACTTAAAGGTCGGGTTTATCGCAAACAGGGCTGTTTCACAAGCAAATGAGGAAAAAAAGTTGTGCCTTTTAATACTCTGAAAAATCGCTTTGCTCCAACACTAAGAACGATGCAAAATGTAGCATCAGAGAAAACAAGCCAGTAAAAAAATGAGAGACTTGTCTTAATGAGAGACTTGTCTTAGTCCTGGTTATTTACATGGATTTCTAAGTGTGGGTTTCCTGAGGAGGGAAGGGAAGAGACTGCTTTCTTTATAATCCTTTGCAAACTGCTATTCGTTTTGTCTAAAATCAGGTTCCACTTAATCCTGTGGACAATTCAACTGAAGGACTAAACTGTGGTATAACTCTACTTTCTAATGTATCCAGTGGCATAGTTAATTAGTCATTCTGACCTGATTCTCTTTGATATTGTAGAGTTAACTCCTCAACACGCTTCAATCAACTGTGTGTACAGAGTAGCTTGGGTGTGAGTGTGTCTCTTGAGGTTTTTCCTGTCCAAATTGCACACGGCTCTATATTCCACACACTGTATCACCCTTGCCAGCATTAACTGCACAATAAATACAGGTTTTGAAGATGTGTGTGTGTGACCATCCTAAAATGACCAGAGCCCTGGATTTATTATGACCTTTCTCCCTGCCCTGTTGTTCTGTTTGCATCAATACAAACAGAACTTTTCATGTGAATTTTTTTTTAAAAATCGTTAACATTATTTTGAGCCCTGACTGAGTTATCAAATGACGTGGTTATGCTTCAAAATAAACAGGGGACAGACAGTCTGCATGCTTTTATATGGTGTAGAAATGTACAGATCATCAGGGTTGGAATCCAACTCATTTGGGAAATTCCAATGGGCTTTTAAGTGGTGCAAATATTAATACTTTCAAGAAATATAGTTCTATTTTATCACAAATTTCACATAGGCAGAGCAGGAGCCATGTCCTCATTCAGGGTGGAGAATCATGTGGAGTATAAATATAATATTATATATAAATATTGTCACGGACTAGTTGTCGAACACCTAGCCTGTTTCTGTGTTAGGTAAAAAGTGTAAAAAAAGATTCTATGAAAAATTGACAATATTCTTTTATGTCAACAGAAAAAAGATCTCCACGATCTTTGTGCAATTGTGAAAAATGCAATTGTCAAAACACATCTGGATATTTTGCTCGTTACACTCTGCTTCGCAAGCTCGACTGAATTTCATCTTATTGAAATGAAGAGGCATGTAGGCAGGATTGTTGTGTCCATTTTATTTGGAATAATTCTGACCCATGATCGGTGCACAATGTAAAATGCATTCAGTCCATTTGAAGCCCCAGCTATCTTCTAGTGGGTAAATTCACCATGTGATAATACTGAGACATGTAAAGCAGTAAGACGCTCTGGTTCCATCTCTGCAGTGGGATTGCTTTGCAAAGGCTCATCTCTAGTGCATAAGGAGGAAGGAAAACATCCGAGGCCATCAATCTTGGGCACAACCCAATAGCGCGCCTTGCTGTGGGTGTGCGTGTGTGGATTGAGTCTGGCTCGGTTGTGATGTCCCCGTTGGTCGAACAGCCTCCTCCTGCCCACTCTCGTTGGGTACATCAGTCTTGACGCAAGACTTACGAGAGGAGGGGAGGAGATGAAGGAGAAAAGCAGCGTCCCATCTTGGATCATCCTAACAGCTCTTTGGTTTTCGCCACCAGCTGTTTGTCCATGTCGGAGGCAATGTCGTCTGCCATTTGCTGAATCTGCAATAAGCGAGTTAGAAAGGGAATCGCCACACATCACTCCACTGGTTAACCCCTCATGCAGCTCATATGCATGCATCTATTACGCCACTGCATTCACCTTTTTAACCAATATTGCTAGTTCACAAATAAATGGCAATCTTCTACTTGAGCTGCAATGGCTTCCTGCTCACCTTCTTCACAAAGTATTCAACATCTAGAATGTTTTTCCAATAACACAAAGCTACGAAACTGGTTGCCTAACACATCACCTCGCTGGTCTCAAGACCCTCCTTTTCGACCGCACCTTCCCCACCCCCCACCCCTCTTGATCCCAACCTCCAGCTCGGGTCCAAATCCAAGCCTAGGGACGTTCTCCCGACGTGAAAGCCGATGTGTAAATGTAATTTGTCATCGTCATCATTAAAAAGCCTTGTTCTCTTTCTAATCTTGTGCACGTTTCAAAACTATCTCCTTTGGCTACAATGGTGACATTGATCCATTACCAAACATAGGAAGGATTCCAGTCAAAGAACCTCAATATATCCAACAGTCGACCATCAAGAGACAGTAGTTCAATTTGCAAGAGTATTTTTCTCATTCCAGCCACTTCCCCCTCATTGTTTATTCAAGAATACTCTCTCACTAAAAAGATAACTAGTAGCTGTCTAAATCCTATCTCTTTCTTATCTTGTCCCTCGGTGGACTGCGGTTACGGGTTTGAAAGAGATCGCCAACTATCCTTGTTGCGTTCCTGGTAATAAGCGATGTTTAAAAATAAATGATAGCGATTAAAGGGGAGGGGAAAAATGCCAACAGAAACACGAGAATGGGGAAGCACACATTTAGCCAGGGATAATACTGGGAACTCACACTAAATGATCACCAATTGCACCTCTGACAGAATAGCTTAATTCAAGCTGAAGAGTTTCATCTAGAGAAACACTCGCTTGACTTCTGATTGTCAGTCCAATACAGGGCTTCCATTTATCCGTAGCCAAGTTTTACTGGCCCGGCTCCAGCGATCCTTTATTTCTTAGCGAGACACATGTTGAAATCGCATTGCTTCTATGATTAAACGTACTTTCGTACAATTGTGCTTGAAGGTATAAAAATAACTGCAAAATGCGTTTGAAATTCGAGATGTGCCGTTGAGATTTTGCCAGTACATCTAGGCTGCGGCACTTAAATATGATGGAGTGGCTGATTCCCACACATTACATAACCATCCTCTCTGTCCTGATCCTATTTCAAATCAGGGTGAGCTACGAGATACAACTAAATGAGATGGAAGCTCTTCAGCCTTGAAAATTTCTCCTCGCAGGAGAACTCTTACAAGTATACAAAACAACAATCCTTGCATCTGATACGTCACCTAGAGCATCGAAATGTCTCAATAAAGCACTTCACGGGTAATTGATGGAAAGTGTAGTGACTGCGTATTTGTAGACAGCTGATGTGCTGTAAACAACAGAAAACATGAACCTAGAACAATAGTTTCAAGTACTCCCCAAAAGGTTGTCGAGGCTAAACTTAAGGCAGATCCTTACATCAAACTTTGGCTTCTATCCCGTAAAGATGTTTTATGTATAATCTTGTTTCGTTTTACATTTCGCCCACAAAATGCACAATCACTTTACAGTATATTCTGTGAAGCGTTTTGAGACGTCTCAAAAAAGTGATAAGGTATTATATTACAATCTCACAACAACATTTTGCTATTGCTGTTGTTGTCATCTCTCTTTATGTAGGCATTTGCCCTTTTAATGAATGCACAGGAGTTAATTATTTCCCAAATGCAAGCTGTTCCCTGTGAGCCACATAATCAGATAGTTCAGAAGCACAGTCTGCCAACCAAAGCCTGGCTTGCTCTTGTCCCAAATTGGTCCACTTTTCCAGCTTCTTACTTAGTGTGAGAGGCTGTCCCCAAAACTGTACCCTTCCTCTGTCCTGTACAATTTGGGAAACTCTTTCCTAACAGGTAAGCCCACCATATTCAAGCTACCAGCAATCATTAACAAGGAAGATACTGTAACCAGCAACTTTTAAATGAAGAAAAACAAAAACAAAAAGCCACAATCATGAGGAAGTAATTACAGGAATTCATGCGGGAGAGAGACTACATACAGTGAGCCACAACTGCATTTGACTGGAGTATCATTTACCATTCAATTAAGCCAGCAATGCCATGATAATTGTACCTTGCTTCATTTTACATTCGCTTAATCTTTGATCTACATTAAACCCACTGAAATGTCCAAATGAGCTTTTCTGTGAAGAATTCTGCTTGTCAGTAGTGGTTGGGTCAAGTGCTAACCCAGAAGGAGGGAGGAAGAGACAATCCGTTGCAGTTTTGCTCGGGATGTTTCTAAATTTCCTGGCAAGTTAGTGTCACAGCACGCCCGGAGAACGGGGATCAAGCTGTTAAACTACTGTTTATGGATGAAGACGACCGTTTGGTCATTTGATCTCATCCTTCCAGAACACCAGCTCATCAGCCTTTGTGAATCAAAGCATCAAAGCATCAGCACCCTGGTTCCAATGGGTAAGGTCAGGATTAGAACAATTTTGAATCTTTTAGTGTTGGGACAGTGATCAACAGTTCACCTATAAACACAGTCACCATACTCTGCAGAAGGTTTGTGAAGCGCTTTGAGATGTTCTTGAAGTTAAAGGTGTTATTGTCAAACACAAGAATTATTTTATCACAGCACTTCAACAACTCGCACTTATATAGGGCCTTTCACACAGGATGAATATCTCAAATCACTTCACAACGACGATAGGAAATCACCAGTATTGGTCCTGGCATTTTTTCAATATTTTAATTTTAAAGCCACAGTGGCATAGAATGGATCACTGATGATTATCATCTCTTGTTATTGCAAAGGGTGGGGGGGGGGGTGAGAGGAAAGAGTATGAGAATGTGATGAAAGATAAATGCTTAAAGAGGATTTTAAAGGCAGGGAGAGAGCGAGAGAGAGAGAGAGAGAGAGAGAGAGAGCTTGAAGCGAAGGCATTTGGGTTAATACTGGCTCATTATATCGGCTGTACTGACCTGTTTTTCTATTAGCCTGATTGTATCTTCAGAGACGAAGTCTTTGGTTTTTTTCACGCGGGTAATGGCATTTCCCCGTACTTTCCTTAGTGAATCCTTTGCCTTATTTGTGAGCTGTTTAGCGAGCTTCCCAAGGCTTTCCCTGTGCTCTCTGGTCACTCTGCAAAAAACAAACAGATTACACACATGTAGAAGGTGATAAAAGGCAAGACCCCTCCCCCAAAACCTGACGATATAAAGGATTCAAGGTTATATAATAACAACAATAATCCTTGCATTTGATATAGTACTTTATCACGTTGTTGAGATGTCTCAAAGCGCTTCACAGGACGTACTGTCAAGCGGAGTGACTGTGTATTTTGTGGGTGAAACTGCCTCGCAGCCTCACCCGTAGTTTTTAAAAAGAACTGTAAAAAAAATAATAACAAAGTGGGAAAAATTGTCGAAATGAGGCCTGCAGCATACACACCACCCGTCCTTTGGAAAGGATCACCCAGAAAGAAACGGTCACTAATTCACAACTACATGCTGATAAAGTGCAAATTGCTACCATTTGTTGTGTTAATCATATGGGATGAGGAGGAGGAGTTGCAAAGGGGCTTATTTTATTTATTATTTGGATTTTGCAGAAAGCAACCAGCTGTGTTCTCAACTGTGCTGCCGAGGAAAGAAGGCAGCTTTGATGCTAGCTGGTGCTGGAAAATGTTCCCTTTCAACCCCCACCGACCAGTGCTTAAAATCTCTAGCGCTCAATAAAACACTGGTCTTTAATGTGAGCGACTAACATTTGTGTTTTACATGCCACCCCCCACCCCACTCAAAATAATTTAGTCACTCAATCCACAACGGTTTGTGGGACCCTGCTCTGCGCAATTGGATTCACCCACAAAATACACAGTCACTACACTTTACAACGTAATAATCCTTTCGATGTAGCCCTTTTCACATCTTCTAGACATCTCAAAGCGCTTCACAGAATATACTATAAAGTGAATTGACTGTATATTTGTGGACAAAACACAGCAGCCAATTGCGCACAGCATCGTCCCACAACCAGTCATGAATTGGGTGACCAAATTATCATTGTTTCTTTTTGTTTGAGGGATTATTATCCGCAGATCGACTAACAACCATGTTCTTACTTACTGCTAGGTAAACAGAGGCATGTGGAGTAAGGAAACCTGCCCAACATTTCGCCCTGTCCGGGAATCAAACGCAGGTTTCTCGCTTGCGAGGCGAGTGCTCTGACCACTAATATATTCTGTGAAGTGCTTTGAGATATCTGTAAGACGTGATAGAACACTATATGAAATCCAAGGATTGTTATCCTTATTCAGTAAAGCATTTTGAGTCGTCACAGCGACGTGATGAGGCGCTCTATCAAATGCAAGGATTAATATATTATTACCTCTCGCATAAACTTGTCGGTCATTCAAAGCCTCAAACAATTACAACTTGTAAACCATGTACCTACACTCTACCACAGGGTTAGAGGAATCCTCAAAAGTTAATACTAAGCATGGCAATTATGTTTATGACTAATTTGATTTTTATTTGTTTCCTTTTAGCAAATCTATAATTTACACTCTTGTCTCCTCAGGCTGAAAGGAGGCATTTGTTGGAACTTGCCGTCTGAGGACTTTATGCATAATTTACTGTTTTTCCCTCTTTTAGGTCATCCTGTGTCAGACACCATTCCCTGTCCCAGACGCAAAGCAGACAAGCTAATTTTAGAAAGTGTGCGTGTGAATGAATTAGGGGTGACTCAACCTCCCGAGTAGCCCTCTCTCTCTCTCCCTCTCTCTCTGAAGCATTTGCGCTGGGATTATTCAGTGGAGTTTTGGTACCAAAAAGCTGCAGGAAAAAATCAATCTGCTTTAAACCCGAGCCAAAAAAGATTTCTTGTGCAATTCGAAAACAGCAGTGTTATGTAGCTCAATGCTAAGTTGTACCTGGATGCAACTGTAACTCTAGCATGACAAATTCATATACCCACTACTGTGCTGAAATGCTTGTGATAACAATGCTCTCCGTTGTGTGTTGTGCATGCATATATGACTATATATCCAACCCTTATTCAGTATAAAGTAAGAACCCAGTTGTTAGTCGATTGTCGGATCACTTTTTCGGGGGTAATCCCTTCAAAAAAAAATGTGGTCACTCAATCCACGACTGTTTGTGGGACACTGCTGTGCGCAATTGGCTGCTGTGTTTCGTCCCAAAATTTAGTCAATTCACTTTACAGTAAATCCTGTGAAACCCTTTGAGATGTCTCAACGACGGGATAAGGCGCTGTATCAAATTCAACGTTTATTATTATTATTATTTAGAATTTTGAACGTACGAAATTCTGTCCACACATTGTGAAGAAAATGATATATAGGTTGACACAGATTTCGTCTCTCACAGGGTTAATATTATTAAGCCATAGGAAAATTCAGCATTGAGCGCACAATCAGATTTCCTAAATGGCTGTGTTTTTTTGCATCTAAAACAAACATTACAAAATGTTTAAGAATTCAATTCAAATGTTGCTCGAGATAAAGCTGGCTTTGGTTCAATGACTTGCGCCCCCTCAGTTTTATTTTTCTTTGTAGGAATATTTTGAAATGGTAGCCAGGGCCGAGATCTAGATACAAACTTCATCTCGTAAAAAAATATATATCCCCATGTGTAGCGCAAACGTTTTAAAAAGGGCTGCAAGCCGGGTTTAAGACCTTGACATTTGCTCTGCATCTTCCGATGCTTTATTATGAGGACAACTTGGTGTGAATTACACATTCATTATAAAACAATCTCGCACAGTAATGGTAGCCCTGAAAGATGGTTCAAATTGACTCTGAACTTCGTCTGGTGTAATTACCAGCGGCCAACTGAAATTATGAAGCAGCAATTTGAATTTAAAATACAAATTTTCCTTGATAACTATGATTAGACTGTATCTAAAGTTCCCATTCTCTCCCTGGATCTGCAAACACTTGTTAGATTCCTATTTACATGAGTAACTAGCTTTGATTTGGCTAACAATAGGACGTATTATACACCATGTACTCGGCAACGCATGGATTAAAATGAAATGCTCTGATTGTAAATTGCTTTGCCTTTTTGCATATTAAGGCTGGAATAATGGATTTCTATATTTAACATACACTTTACATTTTTATCACAAGGGCATAAATATTCCTGTTGCAATTTTTTTTAGCAACATGAAAACACAAACATTTGCATTCTTCTTAAATACCTTGAAAAGTTTTTATTAATATTAAAAAAAGCAAGATTCGTTCTATTTAGTGTAGCTATGATTATTATTATTAATCAGGCCAGGACCCTCCTATTTTTAATGAACTGTCAAAATAATTCTTATGAAGACATCAGTACTCACTCAAATATATATTTGAAGGTAGTATTGCAGCCCCACAATTGAAAAGATATTAATCCCGTAAACATTGTTTATTTTATGTTAATATAGTCTGGTAAATCTACAAGATTTAGAGAAAGCATTTTGAGTTATTTTCTTACATGCAAAGCGCTATCTATATAAATGCAATGTGTTGGTTGTTATGTGTTTAAGAACATCAATTATAAAGGCACTTTATGTAACGAAAGGTGCAATAAAAAATATTTTCTACTCTTTCCTGTGGGTTTCCCTGGGCTGGGAGAGATCGTACAACAACAACAACAATTTACATTTATACAGCGGCCTACACACAGGAGAGCATCCCAGAGCGCTTGACGGTGGCAGACCACAACCAGGTACAATAGAGAGTGACAAGTGTCACATTTGATGTTCAAAGATATGCTCCCATTTATTTCCTGAGTAAGAAAAATGCAGGCCAACGAGAGAAATCCATAGCGAGGCCATTTCTGTGACTCCCATTTATTTTTAACAGCTCCTAACTTCAGAGTATGTCAACTAACATTGTGTAGTACAATCTGCACAAAACCGCAAGAGAATGACCAAAACTGAACAGGCCTTTTTGTTACCTCTACAAAGGAAAGATTTCAAGCCAAGTTAACACCCAATTAATCAACGCTATCACTGATGGGTTGCATCCAGAGAAGGTTTGGGCTAAAGTAGAATCAAGTCCTTTCAGACTCCGCAGAGAAACTGCAAACCAAGCCAGATCGTGCTAAGATAAGATAGAAGCTGATATCAAGGCCATGCCAAGCAATTATAGTGGATGACTTTTAAACATTCCATGTGTACATGTTCTGAACGGCAGAATGGCATTGCTACACACTTGCTGAGACTTAAGCGATCAGTAAACGAGATCACAGACCCAGAGTGAAAACTGCAGGTTTATCGAAAGGAAAATATATTTTAAAAAATCAAGTTCAGCATAAATATTTACTGTACTTAAAAAATTACCGTTTGAAAGAATCCCGAAGCCCTACAGAGCAGGATGTACAATAGTTATAATTAGTTTACTCCGTGAGCGTTTGAATTGCGAATTGTGGTTTGAGGACTTTTAAGCACTCTGAGATGTTATCCTACATAATAAATATAATAATAATCCTTGCATTTGATGTAGTGCCTCAACACATCGTTGAGACGTCTCAGAGCGCTTCCCAGAATATATTGTAAAGTAGATTGACTGTGTATTTTGGGGGTGAAACGTGGCAGCCAATTGCCCACTGCAGTGTCCCATAAACAGTGGTGGATTGAGTGACTGCATTTTTTTGAAGGGCACTCTGTAAATGCAAGGTGTTGATAGAAACTATCTGCACTTTGCAGGTGATGCCCTGATGCTGTCAACTAAGTGTTGCACTCAAGGAGATCCATTGTAAGCACGTGACAAAACCCTCACACTTAGTAAGACAGTGAAACACCAGCCCCTCGGCTTGAGCAACCTACGGAACCTCAACATTATCTGTCGTCACTTTATTTTCTGAGTAGCCCCATGCACCCTCCCACGCGCCCCTCCCACACACACACAAAACACTCTAAAAGCTCATTTAATTTTTAATACAGAAATTGCTCCCCCTTTCCAGCTAGCAGTTCAAAAAAAGCTTCAATTTTCAACCAGAAGTAGACATTCGCTGTAATGACAGTCAGCAGATAAGTATGTAGGAAACCTTAGACGTAACCTTTGAATTACTTACTTAGGGATTGGCACCCTGATCAGACTCCCATCCACTTCTGGGTTCAGGTTCATTCCACATTCCCTGATGGCCTTGGTGGCAGCCTCTGTCGCCTATGAACCAGATCAAAAGGTAAAAGGGCATTAGTGAAATAATTACTTACAGATGGCTGCTCCGTCTCCGTCCGGCTAATCTATTTGCCCAGAACATGGAAACATTTACCTCTTTCACCAAGAATATCAGGAAGTTATATTCAACCCAAGCAGCTTTGATCCCACTGTGAATTGCGAGCTGAGTCCACTTGCACACAAGAGGGATAAAATGTGGTATTGTGTAGTGGGGCGGGAGGGGGAGGGGGACAGAAAATAAAAGATCTGCCTCTTTGAATGCTTTTGGTGGTTTGAGACCAATCTATTTAGTAAAACCACAAACTAGTGCTTTCGGAGCAGTTTAAAACAAAAGGTAACAATCGTTATAGCAACAAATGCCAATTTGCTTCAACGATGCAAAATGGTGGTCTCGGATTCACACCAGCATGGTCAAGGCAAACATGAACCCATCTCCTACCCCCTTTGATCTTAAAGCACCTAATATACACAAGGCAACAGACAGCACAGTTAAATTACTCCAACTCTAATCGCATTGAGAATGGAATCAGGTTCAGCGAGGAGAGTAATAATAATCCTTGCATTTGATGTAGCGCCTTATCACGCCATTGAGACGTCTCAAAGTGCTTCACAGAATATGCTGCCAAATGAACCGACTGTGTATTTTGTAGGCAAAAGGATTCAAAATGTCAAACCCACCCATCTGAACACACACAGGGGGTTGTTGTTAGGAAATCTTTCTCTCTCTCCCCTTCTCTCTCTCTCTGGTGTGTGTTTATCTTTTAGAATAATCAGAAAAGTAAAGGGTAATGAACTAATAAGGGAGCAGGCGTGAAGGGCCAACTGGCCGACTCCTGAACCTGGGATAAAATAAACATAGTCTGTGGAGCTGATCAGAACTAACAGCCTTTCAATTTGCTTCTTTTATTTCTGTCAATATCAAATGTCTGGCAGACAGGAAAGTGCGGGTGGCATAGCGGAATGATGTCCTTCCAGCTAAAGGACCAATCTCATTGATGTCAGTGGAAACAGTTCTACATGTTGAAATCCAGCAATGAGGATCAGCAGTTGATAAGCAGAAAATAGCAAAATGAGTAACTACACTACTATTTGTTTTGCAAAAGAGGATGCCCTGGAGTTATTTCCAAACAGGATTCTAATCTTGGGATTCCGATGCTGGTTCTAAGGAGTTTGAGTTTCACACTTGTGGTTTCCAACATCCTCTAAAACCTCTCAATTAGATGATGACTTCCTTGCAATCACTGCCAGGTAGCCATTATTCTAGATTAAACTTTCAGAGATTGGCTCTCATAAATTACTTCCAGTTGAGTTGCTGTCGCTCTACATGTAGAGAGAAAAAAAGAAGTCGGCGGTAATCTCTTCAATCTATTCCCCAGTGTTATCAGCTATAAAAAGATACAAGAGAGAGAATAAAGCGAATAAGATAATAATAATCTTTGCATTTGATATAGCGCCTTATCACGTCTTCGAGGCGTCTCAAAGTGCTTCACAGTATATACTGTAAAATGGATTGACATTCGCAGGCAAAACACGGCAGCCAAGTGAGTACAGCTGTATAGCATCTTTTGCTGCTTAAATAGCACAGTGTTTAGCAATACAGATGGGGAAATGGCAATAGAGGGATTAAGCTTTACCAATAGTCATAACAACATTTAACTAACAGATGGCACATCATGCAAAACCTCCAACATGGAATCCATTCATCGTGACTTCTAAAATAAGTTGTGATTTGACAGTGAACCATCGGCAATCATCACTGACGATGCAGGTCTGTCCCTGTGCAAATGGGACTCTCACTTCAAATGGGAAATGCAAACATCAGGTCTTTAAAAGTACACAAGCCTGGTGTTTTGTTTCAGCTAACCGCGTCATTATTGCAACTGGAATCAGTTTTAATGTCCCATTTAGTTCTATGAAAATCAATCAACCTGCTGCAAAGATCACAGTTGCTCCTTTACAAAGAATGTCACTTATACAATGCCTTAGTACAATGTACTTCACGCAGACGACAGTGAGGAGTGAGGAGAGGAACATGAAATTAAGGTTGTTAAGCAAACGGACAGCTAAAGAGAGAGGATTATTGAGATGGTTTTCAAGGCAGGGGGTTGAAGCAAGGAGAAGGGATTGCAGGGAGGAAGAGAAATCCTGAGAGTGTTGGCATAGTGGACGAATGCTCCCCCCACACTGACAGGACGAGGGGAGTGAACACTCCCAGGTCAGAGTCAGAAAAGCAGAAAATTACCAGCTTCAACACAAACCCAGATTGCAGATGAATTCAAAAGAACTTTTAAACAACTTAAGCTCTAACGATCTTGAGTGGTCTGTTGGACCACCCTTAAGCCTTCAGTGTTACGAAGCCGACCACAAATTCAAGCTCTCTGACACCATTAAGAAACAGACCGCTGATTAGCGGGGGCTGCTCTCTGTCAATGGTAAGAGTGTTTTGAGAGTGGGAAGCACAAATTCTTTTTTCCGCTCGGAATCGTTCAGTTGGTGAGAATGAGGAATCCGTTCAGCTGTATATATGAGCTGTCTGTTTGAGGGCAGCGTTTACAGAATAGTGCGATCAAGAACGATTGAGGTTAGCAGTAAGTGGTGCAGAAATGCAGATGAAAACGGTTTAATGTCCTGAATGATATGTTTAATATTCCTACAGAGGGCGTTTGTGAGCTAGTTGTCAGAAGCCTTCAATGGAAACTAGTCGGAAATCTCAGGGGAACGATATTCCATAACCCAATAGTTTAATGCCATCGGTTAAACCAGTGTGGCAGCCCACGGGCTTGAGGATCAGGGCAAATGACCACACTATGCGCGATTGGCTGCCGCGTTTCGCCCACAAAAATACAGTCAATTCACTTTACAGTACATTCTGTGAAGCGCTTTGAGACGTCTCAAAGATGCGATAAGCGCTGTATCAACTGCGAGGATTATTATTGTTACAGTGAGGGAGGGTTTAAGATTTCATTTCTTTGTGAAGAAAAAAGCAAGACAAATTTAGCAAATATACAAACTGGCATCTTCAAGCACAACATCTCAATGGATTCATTCCAGCCCACTGCAGTGAGGGCCAGTGCCTCATCCCAGACATAAAATGTGATATGGTCGTAGTTTCAGAGTAAGTTGTGTTCAGGTCAGCAGCACCGATCGAACGTATCTCGAATTGCACCACAATGCACTCGATGTATTGGAATCCTCTGCTATGCTCTCTGTCGCCTCCCTCTTTTCTAATATTGTTCTTTCCAAAAGTTAACACCTGCAGTAGGTTGAGATGGGTCTTCTTGGGTATAATAATAATAATAATTTGGTCACTCAATCCACGACTACTTGTGGGACACTGTTGTGGGCAATTAGCTACCACGTTTCACCCACAAAATATATTTTTCAATCAGGCAACTCACTTTACAAAATATTCTGCGAAGCGCTTGAGACAGCTCGAAGATGTGATCAGAACTATATCAAATGCAAGGATTATTATTATTACGGCATAGTCAGCGCTGCTTCCTATTTAACCCACCAGGAGGTGGTCTTGAGCAAACCAAGAAAGGGTACCCAACAAGCCAAGTGTGAATGCCAGTGCTAAACTGAGATTTTAACTCCCGTAGCTGGGAGTGTATTGAATCTGTCGGGTTATATCCAATACTTTGAACTGGCTAACGGGTCTGAGAAATGTTTAACTTTTATAGTATATTTGGGAAAAAACCTGGACTGCAGACCTAGAGATCAATGTTCTTATGACAGGCTAGTTCCCTTTCACTCAAATCCAAAGGTAATAAGAAACATCAAGTTCCACATTCCTTTCCTGTGAAGAAAGGAACGTCGCTATTGCCTGTGTGACAAATGATCCAAAGGCAGACAGGAAAAGTGGTGATAAAACAAAGATAAAACCACCTCACTCCCTGCATTAACTCCATAACTATAACGCCTCACTTACTGCATTCTTTCGAGACAACAGCACAAAGTTTACTAGAGACTTCAAATATAAAATCTAAAGCATTTCAATGTTAACTGGCTAGACGTAATTATACTCTGTAAAAGGAAATGGAAAAGCCATATCTTTTTTCCTCGGCAGGGAATGAGATTTAACCCAATAGCGTAGAACACAGGAGTCCGCATACAAAATATAACATTTTACTTCAAACTAAATTTTGTCCCAGCACTGTACTGTTCTGCATGACAACTTGTCTGAGTTTTGGGGAACAAAAAAACAAGGAAAATAACCAGATTTCTCATTACTGCAATTGCTGATAATTCAAGTCAGAACATTTTTGTCTTTGGAACCACATTCATAACAACGAAGGACATTATCGGAAAAAGCAGAGTAACCTTTGCACAATTGTTGAGAAAACTCCTCTGTTTGTCGAGCAAACATACTCCTGAATGTGACAATACAGGCTGGAAGTGTGGCTCATTTCCTTCTCGTGAGAGATGCCCGGAATGTGTTTTTATCTTCGGACGCCAAAGAATTTTTAAAATGGGAGCACTTTACAACTTAAAGTAGTTTCACCCAATCCATCATCTTGTCACGCAGTAAAATAACAAGCTTGGTTGAAAGTGAGAAGTTCGGTTTTAACTGTATGACCCTTTGCTCTGGGCGCTGGTAATCTTTATATACAGTATGTCCGTACTTTGTCGCGAAATAAACTCTTCGCCGCGAATGGGGAAATCAACAGGAAACGATATTCAACAGCAGTCCATGAAACAACTTAAGAGAAACTCACTTAAGAGAGTACTTTGGGAAACATGAAGTACTTTTGTTCCAGGGAGTGGTAATAATCAACATCTTATAATTGAACCATTTTCGTGTCATAATAATAATCCTTGCATTTGATATAGCATCTTATCACGTCTTCGAGACGGCTCAAAACGCTTCAAAGACTGCACTGTAAAGTGTAGTGACTGTGTATTTCGTGGGCGAAACGTGGCAGTCACTTGCGCACAGCATTCTCCCAAAAGCGATCCGCCAATCGACTAGCAAGCGGGGTCCCACTTACTGCTAGGTAAACAGAGGCGTACATACATGCATCGCTTGTCACATAAACAACAACAACTTGCATTTGTATAGCACCCTTCATGCGGGGTAGCGTCCCAGAGCGCTTGACAGTGGCGGAGTCTGACCCCGAGCCAGGGGGAGAGGATCAGACTGTATGCATATCAAATATACAGACAGCACTGAGTAAAGATTAAATGTGCACATTCGTACATAAACACTCTACAGATTTGACCACATTCACTCACCTCTGGGGAACTGGCCATGTTTACGAGGATGAGTTGAGGCGACTTCAGAGAGATTTGCGCCAGTTGGTTTAATGGAAACTTTCCATCCTGAATGGTAACTGTTATATGATCTAATGCACCTAAAGAAAGATCCCATTTTAGTGTGTGATGACAGTACTTAACAAACAAGGAAATGCAAAAGCAAGTATACTTTGACACTTTTGTGATCAATAAACGTTCTTGTTTAAATCCGTTCCCCCCACACACCCCCACCCCCGACAACAAACAGTCCTTTCCTGTTCCAGTTTATCATTATTCTTATGATTCCATGACAGAATTCCCACATTTCTGACTTTACATAGCAATCAAACAGAAACCATGCATTTAGGTACTGTCTCCACTTGCCAGCCTCAACATAACATTCTGTTCCTATTCAGTAACGTGCAAGTGTTAAGGTTAAGACTGTTTATGAGACACTGATGTGTGCAACTCGCTGTTGCTTTTTGCCCACAAAATATGCAGTCAATTCACTTTACAGTATATTCTGTGAAGCGCTTTGAGGCGTCTTGAAAACGCGATAAACTGCTATATCAAATGGAAGGATTATTATTATTATTAAGTCCAGAATGAAATGCCTGCGAACCTGTGATTTTATAACTAAAAAATCTCACTCAATATAAAGGTGTAACAAAAAGAGAAGTTAATTTTTGAGATCAGTGTTTGTAAGACCCACATGTTTGTTCCACTACCAATGAAACAATGGCTCCAAATGATTTGAGTTCCGTGTTCTTAACGTTATATTAGAATCTCATGTTGTAGGGTTAAATTTCACTCTGGAAATAACAGTATGCAGCGATCCCTGGCAGTAACAGGGTGTCTGTCACTCCAAATCACAGGGACAATAACAACAACTTGCATTTATATGGCGTCCTTCATGAGGAGTAAGGTCCCGGAGCGCTTCACAGTCTGACAACGAGCCAAGAGGAGAGGGAGTGGGGAGGTGACTGTAAGCACGATCAGAAAGGAAGGTCTTTCGGGAGTCTGGTACCCTGGAGGTTTTGTGTCAATCTGGGGAATAGATCTCACTGGAGCTGTGGTCCACAGGTCAACACTTCCCACTCCTGTTGTGAATTGTGGTGTATTAGTCCCTAATGTCGTTCACTACAAGTGCCTAACCTCGACCACGCTGCCCTTCCACTTCCCTGCAGGGAGGTGGAAAGTGGTTTGATTGGCAGCAATTCACCAACTGGTGAACTCTCCTCGTGGGGGCTGGGATACAAGAGGCTGGTTGCTTTGTGCATCAAGGGAAACACACATGGCATGGCAGAAATTCAAAGTGGGAGGGGTTGCAAAGTGAACTGAAAGAGCTCGGTGACTCCCACACACACATACTCCCACCCCACACACACACACACACCCCACATACACACACTTCCTCACATATACCCCCCCCCCACACACACACACCCACCACACACACACACCCACACTCACTGCAGTTTAAAATGCAAAACCTTTTTCTTACTTGGGAGTTTCACGTTTGAATTTCTTCAATGACAGTGCAACAATAAGCTGCTTAAATGATCCAACACGAAAGCTGATAACTCTACATGTCTACATGCATCTGGTTATTGTAACTCCTCACCCTACCTCACCCCCCCACCCCACACACACACACAACTTTTTTTTCAAACCAATGCATTTGTGACAATTGCATTCTTCCTGCTCTGGGATGCTGTTACCTGTCAAGCTACATGGAAAAACAATTCATCACATCTGCAAACACTTCCACTAGACGGTTTTGACATCTGTCTCCCTGTAAAAGCCATTTTCAGGAAGTTATTAACAAAACTGGATTCTTCCTGGTCAAGGACCGTGGTAAAGAGAGGCTGTGGAAGGTCGTGCAGGGTCACCAAGGCTTTACAGATACACGCTGCCATGAATACAGGTACGTTAGCCCCAAAGCGTGGCCGTGAACTGCAAACATAATGCCCACGAAGGCAAGAACTGGTTCAAAAAAAATAACACGCGAGGCTGCTTGGTTCTCACACAATTCTTTTCTGAACACTGGTGCTCTGTGATGTTTCAGTATTGGAGGCACTTGATTGAATGCAAAGATTTTGTTTAACCCTTGAAATACTGAATGACATTTCAGACTTTGAAATTCAACNTTTTTTGGAATGGATAAACCTGTGTCAATTTCACACTGCTGTATCAAATCCACGGATGATTAATTATTATTATTATTATTCAGATTACCAAAGACCCCGATCTAATGACTATTTAAGGGATGTATTTGATTTTAGAAGAGAACAAATTCAGGGGAAGGAAGAGTGGAGGCGGGTGGGGAGTTAGGTTACGTTCTTCTTGAAAGACTCCAGAAAAGATAATCTTCTGAAATAGGTGAATTAGACAGAGTTTTGTTCAGCGGTAAAATTCTCTCCGAACGTGTAAAAGCAAAAACTTTGGGCACTTTTGGTTCAGAAACACAATGAAGGTTGCCCTCATAAGAATCATATGTGTCTTCTAACCCCACCCTACCTGCCCTCCACCCCTCCTGATCCCAGCCCCCAGCTCAGGTCCAAATCCCTGACTCTCCAACACCTTGGGACATCCTCCCGACTTGAAAGGCGCTGTGTAAATGTAATTTGTTGTCGTTGTTAAGAAACACTAAGGAGTTTTACTCACCCTTCTTGCTTTCTACTACTCAGTGTGAAAAAGCCCGGAACAGTTTTCACACAGCACAGCAGCACTAAACACAGCTCCACTATAAAAATACTGTCCTCACGTCAGATCAGCAAAAGAGTGGCCTGTTTTGCCAAACAATGTAAAACGATCCCTGTAGCAGTGGTTCATGCTTTAAGTGAGATACATAATGGGTGGCAGTGGTTTACAGGGTAATGCTACACCCAGGCTCAACTTGTTATTAAGAAAACAAATTTAGCTTTTGCACAATTTTGAATGAAAACAAATAAAGCCAAGGGTTGACTTCCTGCTGCACATAACGAAGGCGGAGATTACATGTGGTGTTTTGGCGAGAAGCAGCATTATGCGCCCACTGACATGTGCTGGTGGCTACTTTCGCTTTGGCAACACCGGCCTTCTCTCTGTGATGCTTTGTGAACCAATGTTAAGTGCTCTCTGGACGGTCGGATAACATAATACAGATTCTAAAATATACAATTTTATATTTTATACAAAATCTACAGTCAATTCATGCTACAGTATATTCTTTCAAGCGCTTTGAAACCTCTCAACAATGTGAGAAGGCGCTACATCAAATGCAAGGATTATTATTATTATTATAATTCTGCCTGTTCTTTTGAAGAAGGAAACTAGTGAGTGGTAAAAATGAGACTCTGGGTGACTTGTGGTGACGCACACACACGCACAGTCGAATGCCACAACAACAACTTGCATTTATATAGAACGTTTCACGGATCTCGGAGTGCTTAACAGTGCGGGAGGGAGCTTGACGTAGACCCAAGGAGAGAGGGGAGGTGACCCTGGGCATGGTTGAAGAGGATGCACGGTTGTAAAACACACCTGGTGAAGTTCTTATACTGAGATTCTTCCCGTAGTCATCTTGGAGTTTCTCTACGATTTGTAGCATTTCTTCTTTCAGTTCGTTGAGGTTGATGATGTCATCCACTAAAGCAGCGTTGATGTTGACTCGAGCTTGTGGCTGTCCTTTCCCTTTAGCTGTAAGTTATAATCAAAAGGCAGGTTGAAGCTAGAAACTAAGACGTGTAACCGAAGTGAAAACGAATACAAAATAAGCACCGGTACAAGTAACAGTATTATGAGTCGAAACACAACATTTTCGCCCACAAAATATACAGTCAATTCACTTTACAATATATCCTGTGAAGCGCTTTGAGATGTCTCGAAGTCGTGATAAGGAAAATGCAAGGAGGATAGACTGATCGAAAGAACGTGAGAAAGAGAGTAAAGAGGGCTTACCTTTGGTTTTCTTGGTAGCAAACTGCCGACTCTGTGGTGCTTGTAGAGCCCAGCACTGGCTACAGCTGGTCAGCAGCGCCAAAGGCCTTGCTCGTCTCACTGCTGGGAATTGCCCGAGAGCGGGCAGAGTGTTATAGAGAGCCGGCCACAGATGGCACAGCTGTCTCAGCCCAATCGACATAGTGCAGGAAGTTGCTTGGGTTTATCACCTAGGGATCAGTTCAAATACAATCACAAAAGATTAGTCAACCAATGGAAACATACGACTTTGTTCCTATCGTAAAGTACTTCACAAACTTTTCTAATTTGACTTATTTTAACAATAATAATCCTTGCCTTTGATGTGTGCTTTATCACGGTGAGACGTCTCAAAGTGTTTCACAGAATATGCTGTAAGGTCAAATGACTGTATATTTTGTGGGTGAAACGCAGCAGCCAATTGCCTTCCTTCTGATGAGACGTTTAAACCGAGGCCTTATTCGTCTATTCTTCAGGTGATGTTAAAGACCTCTGTGAAACTCTCGAAATGAGAATATTGTCCCGGCCAACAATATTCCGGATTAATTGGTTGTTTCACCCACCTCATGGCTGTTTGTGAGATATTGCTATATACAGAACGGCTGCCACATTTGGCTACAAAAAACAACCACTGCCATTGACGATAATTACTGGAAAACGTTTTCAGTATAAGACACAATAAAAATGCAAGCTCTTTAATTGTTCCTTCCTTCCGTAGAAAAGGATCAAGGCACAAACAGCCTGAAGATTCACAAGAACAAGCCTCTATTATGGCATAAATGTGTTTAATGGATTGGAACCACTTCATAAACAATATTGCAAACAATAAACCGGAGCTCAATCCCTACATTGAAAGAACTACTTCAAATGTGATATTAATGCATTTGAATAAAAGAGGCAAATTCCACTCACATCACTCCCCAATCAAGAAGCTCCATTTTAACCTCTGGAACCTGAATTTACATTTACTATGCACCGTGGCATTAAAAAAAGCCAAGTCTTAAATGAAAACCTTTATAAATTACTGCTTTCAATGCAGACGCAATCATGGGTAGAGTGTTTCAGAAACCAATGAGATGTACATGGTAATGTTTTTATAAGTAAATGGTTTATTCATTCATTTTGTGGTGGTGGGGGGAGCGAATTGATTCTGTGTGTCATTTCACTGACAAACACCACCAAGGCACCAGCTTTTAACAAATTGGGGTTTTAAATCTGTTTAGACATTTATTTTGAAAGAAAAACACTGAAATAAGAATAATAGCCTCGTCTGTAGGCCATTGGTGTTAAGAATTCAAAGAACATTAGAGATCCGAATTGCCAATGAAATCAACAATGGAACAGCTTTCAAATGTGGAGTCCTGTAGCTCAGTGATTAGACCACGTGCTTCACAAGCGAGAGACCTGGGTTTGATTCCTGGCAGGGTGAAATGTTGGGCAAGTTTTGTTGCTCCACACCCCTGTTTACCTAGTGGTAAGTACGAACCCGGTTGTTAGTCAATTTGCGGATTGCTTTTCTGGGGGTAATAATTCCTTCAAAAAAATAATAATAAATTGGTCGCTTCAATCCATGACTGTTTGTGTGACACTGCTCTGCACAATTAGTTGCCGTGTTTCGCCCACACAAATATACAATCAATTCACTTTACAGTATATTCTGTGAAGCGCTTTGAGACGTCTCAAAGACGTAATAAGGCGCTATATCAAATACCAGGTTTATTATTATTCAGCAACTGGATTCACAAAGGCATCTGTATTCTGTATTCATCGTATTCTGACTATTGGGTGATCGCAGGCTGTAAGACTGCACACTCTTATATATCTGAGTTGTTATTGGGTGCTATTTTCGCTTGGAAGTTAACATTTGATAGGTGATAACAACAATAATAATTCATTTGATATAACGCCTTATCACGTCGTTAAGACGTCCCAATGCGTTTAACAGAATATACTGCATAATGTATTGACTGACTGTATTTTGTGGGCGAAATAATAATGAAATAATGAATGCACCTTTGACAATTTCATGTGGGAGGATTTCTTACATTTCCTTTCCCTTTCCTTGAATTACTTGGGTGACATGACAGCCACAACTCTGACTTTGTCAGTAGGTCCAGTCAACATCCAGTCACCAGCCCAGCAATGGCAAAGCCAAGATCAGGAACTTATGCTTAGTAGTGTAGAAGGCTGGCAAAGCCAGAGTACCCTTCTCAGAAACTTGCCTCTGACCACTGTGTGTTTTCTCATCACAGCCAATGCAATTCCATTATAATAATGATAATAAAATCCTTGCATTTGATACAGCATCGTCAAAATGTCTCACTGCGCTTTACAGGAGTTTTGTAGGTAAAAGCACAGTACTTTTTCTTTCCATAAAAATGAAATTCAAAACTTGATATAATCTGTGTATCATTTGTCTTCAGTACGGCCTCTTCGATCAGCTCATTCTCTTTGTCCCGAAAGTTTGTCGTCTTCTATGAACGCAGGCACCTCCCCTCCTCTTGTTTGGTACAGTATTTCCAGTGATGTTGCCCTGTGGCCAGGGGCTGCTGTACTCTTACCCGTGCTTCTTTTACGCTGCTGGAGCGAATTGACATTGCTTTCAGCAGTAAAGAGATTCCAAGCAGGAAACCCGATTTTTACTTGCTCTCTCTCCAGGGGATTGAGGAGAACTGGAGCTCCACTAACTGGGGCCAAAAGTTGGATAGATTTTTCAAGTTATTAAAGATTTGGAGTATGATCAGCTCTTTAATAACATTAAAAGACCTGAGGGAGACCCAGAAATTTTAAACTTAATTTACGTTTTAAAAGTAACAACTTGCATTTATATAATGCCTTTCACATGAAAGATCACATTTGAAATAGTTAACAATGTGCCTTTGTGACAGCGGGCAAGAAGTTAAAAGGATTTAGGGAAGGCTGAAGCCAATTTTAACGCAGGAAGACGCCGCACATTATTCTGGAAGTGAATTGGCAATTCCACTACTCTTTCTTGTATACTTTCTGGAAGCTGGCTCAAAACCAGAACCAATTGTGACCTAGGAGCAAATCACCTTCCTCCAACATAAGTAGATGTATGGAGATTGAACATGAAAGCTAATAATCTTTTTATTTGATTTAGGCCTTATTATACTGGAACATCTCAAAGCGCTTCACAGAATTTTCTGGAAAGTACACAAGTAAGAAAGAAGCAAACCGATTTTTTCAGGAAACTGTTTCAGGGGACGATCTGTAACATGACTGAGGCTGTGCAGTGGATCTGTTGCTCTTCTTTAATGAGATAACTGGCTGTATTAAATGCATTTATAACCCATCATCTTGGTACAAGCTATAGCAGGCAACGGGACAAGAAAAGTAACCTGACTTTAATGCTTTAAGCCCTATAGCAATTATACAATTTTTTCCATTTCCCACAAAAGCTGTCGCTATGACCTTCAAGTGCAATTACCTATTTAGTGCAGTTATACTATGGGTCTGCAAGAATTTGGATTCAGACTGGCCAAAATCATTATACGTTGGCCCTTAAGGGAGATTTTCATTCCCCAAAAATATATATGGACTTAGTCCCAAATCCAACAGGTCAAAGGGCACTGCTCCAGCCCACCACATAACCAAATATCATCATGATGTGAAGAAGCTGCAACTCCTGAAGGAATGAGTGCGAGGGCAGTTTTGCCAGATCCCACAATCTCAATTTTTAAACGTACTTGTGTTCTTTGCCAAGTGGTACATATTTAGAATTATCAAATAAGCTGAAATCTGCCAACATTTATTTGACAAGAGGCAAAAAGCAACCCCTTGGATTTGATTTCTTTTGAACATCAATACTAAGTACTTTACCACTCTAACCTGCACAATTTAAACCGCTGATTTATTACATCTCACGCAGTGCCTATAATATCAAAACATCTGAAAAGCATTTTTAGAAGTGTAGTGAGAGGCCATTTGTGGGCAAACACGGTAGCCATGCATGCACAGCAAAGTGCTGCAAACAGCCATGAAATGAAGCAAGGAAAGGAAACGTGGAGAAACTCTATTCAGCGTACAAAATAGTTTTTCAGCTGCTTCGAGCCATCTCCATAACGTGATAAGACACCTCGAGACGTCCTACGAGTGTAATTTTGTTGTTGTAGATCATATGCACAAGTGTTGATGATTACATTAATTCACAATACATCCACAATGGGGCCAAATATTTCATCTCATCTCTTTCCCACCTCCTCTCTCTCTGACACACACACTCCCTCCTTCCCCCTTATTCCTCTCTCTCTGACACACACACTCCCCCTTATTCCTCTCTCTGACACACACTCTCCCTCCTTCCCCCTTATTCCTCTCTCTGACACACACACTCCCTCCTTCCCCCTTATTCCTCTCTCTCACACACACTCCCTCCTTCCCCCTTATTCCTCTCTCTCTGACGCACACTCTCCCTCCTTCCCCCTTATTCCTCTCTCTCTGACACACACACTCCCTCCTTCCCCCTTATTCCTCTCTCTCACACACACTCCCTCCTCCCCCTTATTCCTCTCTCTGACGCACACTCTCCCTCCTTCCCCCTTATTCCTCTCTCTCTGACACACACACTCCCTCCTTCCCCTTTATTCCTCTCTCTCTCACACACACTCTCTCTCTCTCTCTTCTGTTCAGTTTATCCCCAGGTTTCTGGACCTGGGGCAGCAATGGCCCTGAAGGACATGTGCAATGGTGGGGGAGGGGGGAGGGGGGGTTTGAAGGAGACATTTAACGAGCCCTTCAGCTGAACGACATCTTCTGATTCTCTCTCTCTCTCCCTCTCCCTCGCCTCCGGGCCGTCTTATTCACGTTAAACCGAACGACCGCAGCGTTTGACTTGCCTGCGAGCGGCCGGTAACAGACAGACTCTCGACACCGGGTTCACCTTTGCTCCCGCGCCGCCTTCTCCCCGCCTCCACGACATCCGGCTGCGCGCGCAGAGGGGGGAACGCGACTCGACGCGAGAGAAACTACAATACCCAGCGTGCTTTCGCGCCGCCGCCCCCCCCTCCCTGCGGGGGGGGAGGGGAGGGGGTGGAGCGGCACTCTGGGTAATGCAGTTCTTGTCGCCGGCACCACCCTGGCCGCCGCCGCCGACCGGAAACGGAGCGGGGGGTGGGTCAAAGGTCAGCCGGATGTTTCCGGAGGTGGATGGCGCCGGAGTTCTCGGGGAGGAGATGAGATGAGAGGAGAGTTTGCAGCCGGAGCGGGTAGGTGAGGATTAACGGCCCAGTGAGTCAGCAGGCCGGCCGGCCGCCCGCGGGCTCGCTTCTCCCTCCCCCCCCCCCACTCCCACCACCGTCCTCTCCCGCCAGCGGGAACCCGGTTTGAGGCAAGTTAGGGCACCAGGCCCCAAGCCTCGGAGTCGAGTAAACGACCCAGGCCTCCCCTTCGGTTCGTTTCATTGACCAGCAGCGGCTCGCCCCCTTTCAGGCACGAACCAGGCTGATCCCGGAGCGCAAACCGACTGCATCAGATTGTCCTGTCTCAGTCTGGCAATAACTGAGCTGCTGCTCCTGGAGTTTTGGACATGGATGGAATTTGCCTCAAAGCAGTTTATTTCTAACCAATTTGAACGAAACGGACGCTATCGACTAAACCCAAGTGCAGATGAATCTGAAATTATTTCTGTAATCTTTCCTCCCGATGAGCTGCGTTCCCCCCCTCCCCGATAAACGCCAGAGAAAACCCATCGCCACTCCCTAAGCGTCTCCGAACCAACCCACCCGCTGAGAGTTAGGTCCGCACACATGCTTGGAAAATTCCCTTTGGAATTGGAATGGCACACTTTTTTTCCCCCCAGCGATTGGGGGAAAGTGTGGCACTTCCAATTCCGAACAGAAATTTCCAAGCACGTCCCAGAAAGTATAAAGCCCGGGAATACTCGATCACCCCAACCCCTTGCAAGTTTTGGTTTCAGATGTCCCTGTGCCTGTTTGTCTTGTCGACTTGCAATCTTGATCGGTGGTGAAGCTCACAAAAATGGACAACGACGGCCTTTCGGGGCCTTGGGACGTCCTCCCGACACGAAAGCCGCTAGATAACTGCAAATTATTGTTGTCGCTTGGGTGACGTGCAGGAGGGTGATCTGCACCTGTGAAGCTGGCAACCCAGTAACAGGGAAAAAGAAAGCAAAACACCATTAAGAGGGGAAAAGGAGACTTTGTAAAATGTTTTGAGAAGTTCTGGACATTATAGGAGCTATATCAAATGCAAGGGCTATTATTAAACTATTGGAGGAGTGCAACGTTGTTGGATGAGAACTAAAACCTGACACGACCTGCTTGGATGGATATTAAAGATTCCATGACATTATTTTGAAAAAAGTCATTGTGATGGTCTAAGCCATCGTTCCTTCCTCAACCAGATTCACCAAAAAGAAAAGTTAATTTGTCTGTTTACTCTTTGTGTTGCAATGCTGGCCACATTAGCTGCCACATTTTAGCACATATGTCACTACACAGTAACTAATTGTGGACAGCACCTTGGGATTTTTTTGATGTCAAGACAGGTACCAAATGCACATGTTTATTCACCTCTTTCACGTACAATAGTTCTCCTCTTGTTCATTCTTCTACAACAAAGGAGAAGCTTCTAAAATGCCCCTCTCCTCCAATAACTGGCCATAGGTAGAGAGGCTTTGTTTGGTGGAAGAGAGAGGAGGTAAAATAGAATTTATGGTACAAAAGGATAGGAATGGGGGAAAATTGGAAGTGGTAGCCACTTTTTGCCAGGCGACAAAACTGCCTCATTGTATAAACCGGGTTGGTTCAGCAACTAGCAGGAAAATAACAGTCTAATCTTTCACCATCTGTTTCCATAATAAGGATTAAGAGTAAGCGGAACAGTAATGGCTGAAATTATAATGAGTACAGAATTAGAAGTGTAGTACTTTGGGTGTTGTAGGAGGATAATGACACACAGTTTAAAGTTCAGTGGAAGGACAGAGTCGTTCAATTAAAACTGTACACTTTTTCCATTATTTTTGTAGTGACGTATGGGGACTGAAAATGAATCTCTTCCATTGGAAAATGCTTCTATTCTGTCAGAAAGCTCCTCACAAGAAGGACATCGTCTTTGGATCGGCAATCTGGATTCCAGGCTAACTGAGTAAGTGCAGCGGACCTCAATCCGTACACATGTTCTACTGGGTCCTCCATATACAAAGCTGATATGGAAGCCCACGGTGTAAAAAGGCTAACTTCCCCACAGGAGCTACGTACTCTCATCCTTTTACTCTGCTCTTTTCTTCAGCCCCTTTTATTGCTGTATTGAACCAAGTGTTTACATAACTCCTTTTTACTTTGATGTAATTTATTTGGCCTCACTCGTCACCACTTTTCTGGTAATGCCTATAAACCTCATTTAATCCTACACTTGCCTACAATGTGGGTGTCAAGCAATAGCTTTGTCATCTCAACAGATGGGTGCGTAAGACTAAATTTGAATGCTGCGTTGATCCATTGATTAACTCAAGAAAGAATATCCAAGTCCACTAAAATGGTGTTATAGTAGAACTGATTTATTTATTATTTATAAAAAAAAAGTGGTCATTCAATCCACGACCATGGGACATCACTGTGAGCTCCGGGCCGCTACCCCGTGTGAAGGACGCTACATAAATGCAAGTTGTTGTTGTGAGCAATTGGCTTCTGCATTTCATCCACAAAGTACACAGTCACTACACTTTACAGGATATCCTGTGAAGTGCTTTGAGACATCTCAACGACGTGATAAGGCGCTGTATCAAGTGCAAGGATTATTACTCTTACTATTATATTGAATCCACTGAGGCTTTGTATAATTCTAACGGATAAGTTACTCATATCAGTGCATCATAGTTCAAAGCTGAAGTTAATCATGGTGTAATTTTTAAGTGCACTATTTGCTATCTTATAATCCATATTAAAGTAATCCTGGTTTCTTTTTTCTAAGGGTGACTATTGCAAAGTAACTTTGAAGGAATGTATTTTACAACCTGCGGTATTTTCTAAGTCGAATGGACAAATTGTAATTTAGTGCTGCGATGCAGCTCAGTTCTCAGAGGGATAATTTTGTATTTGGAAGTGTTCCTTTGTATTATTAATTTGAAAAGGTTAATAGTTCTATACTGAACTGAACTGTTCTCAAGCCAAAATGTGCAGAGCAGGTTTTAAGCTGCTATTATTAGACTATACTTCAGCGTTCTTGCTATGACACCAGTGGTAGGGCAGTGTCGAAATAAACTTAGCATTGTTCCTCAGGGTACAATCACTGGTGCCGATTGATTTACCATGTGTGTTTCACTGCTGTTTTATTGCTTTTGGTCTTTGGGATATTATTGTTTGAAAGAAGCCTTGACTGTAATGGCAAAGAGTTTGAATAGGTTGTGGAGGTGCCAGGCGGAAAGCCAAAGGAAGAGGAAAGAGGGGAGAGCTGGGGAGGCTGCTGTTGTGACTCACGTTCACATCAGTGGTCAGGAAGTAGAAAGCAAACCTAGCCAACAGCAACCTGCAAGAGCCACTTCTCTTCAGCTTGTTAATTGTGTCTCCTTGTCACTCTACAGCATGTCTTTGGAGAATACACTTGGGTGCATTTTGGTAATTGGACACAGTGCACTTATCAAGTGGCAGAAAGTCCACAGTCGTGTTCACACGATGTTTGCGATGTCAAACTCCTTTTAGGAGTATTGCTCTTTACTCCCAGTTTATTCAACAAGCGATCGCAGTGACTATAATCTGAAATCTTGGTTTATGCACCTAAACCAACCCATGCTGTCTTGCATTCTGCCTTGAGAGCAACTTAGCCTGTGTGTAAACAAGACGATTTGCATTGAGCAAATAGTTCTCACTTGCCAGGGTCATTCTTTGTAATTGACCTGTTCACAACTACAATGTTTAGGTAATCACCACCTATTTCTGATTATATGTATGCCATCGATCTGCTCCTGTCCACTATCCTCCCACATAATCCTGAAAGTACAGTAATGTACTGCTATTCTCAGATTTTGATGATGATGATGTCTTTTTTAACATAAAGAAGATAGTCAGATATTTAGGACAATGGCAACTCACAGCACCATGGTCCCATGGCAACTTTCTGCCACTTGATAAATGAATTGTGTCCAATTACCAAAATACACTGAAGTGTATTCTTGGCACGGTGGCCATTTAGTCTACTATGCCTGCACAAGATCTCTGAAAGAACCATCCATTTTGCCTCATTCTCCTGCCTTTACCCCACAGCTTTTTATATTTCTTCCATTCGGATGTAGATATTCATACCCTATTGAAAAGGCATCTAAACACAGATCAGTAGTTGGGGGTGGGGTGGGGGAGTAAAGGCTCACTTTAGCCTTAATGCATTTTATTTAGATTTGAGAAGTTTACCGTTTTCCCTGGGGATTTTATTTCTGCAGTTATCGTGTCTTGAATATTGAATTTATGGATTTTAGTTACACTTTTGTAAAGTTTGTGTCCTTTTTTAAAAAAACATAGTCTTCCAGTACACCATGCTACTAGTGACATTGCAGAATGTTTTAGTGTGTGTGTGTAGTGTGAGAATTTCATTCCGTAACCCATAACTCATAAATAAGTTAACAGGATGAAGGCACAGATCATGGCCTTGAGTCACAACCTAAATTAGGAAATGTTTTTGTTGCACTTACCTCCAGAAAAGTGTCTCATGAATAATGCATCGCGCTTTCCCACTTACTGAGAAAGCAGTTAGTACATAAATGAGATGGTTTTACAATACCATATGCAGTCAGAGAAAAGTTGCTATCAGAACCGGTCAAGTGAACAATTTATTTCAAACCATTTTCCTGTCTGTTTTCAATCTACCACCCTTCCCAACTTCCAAACCCCCATGTGACAAATTCGCTTTAGCATGCTTTGCCAGGGATGACTTCTTTTAGTATTAAGGAGCTTTAGTAGCCAGCTACCATTGATGGACCCTTAAATTTGATGGGAGTTTAAGCTTCTATATATCTAGATTATCTGTAACCTTCTGCCATTCTCAACTCATATTTTCTGTTGTACATTTGCCCGCTCCCGCCCTCCCATCCCTCCATGGGAAAGCTAAATACGAATGTGCCGAGAGTCACAGTAAGAAGGGTATGTGAAGGTCACAGCCAGAGGGAAAATAAGGGAAGCTGTTAATTTGCCCAGAAAAACGGCTGCACCCAGATTATTTCAATATTGCTGCCAGACTGTTCAAGTCAAATACCATCTATTGTTTCTGAAAAGGATATTGGCGATTCCCTTTGAGTAGTAAAGAATGGCTTCCAAGTTCACAAAAATTACTAAAATGGAACTTTATAGGAAGGTCAATGGTAACGTTCAGCTAAAGTACTAAAGGTTTACAGAATGGTGTTTTTCCACTAGTAACAAATAGTCTGTCCAGGTACAGGACCTAAAGTGCATGATCTTGAAATTGCATGAAAAATTTGTCTAATAAGCAAACACACGGAATTATGATTACAGGAGGGGTTCAGAGCAAAGGTCCACTTACACACACAGACAAATCGCTTTGAACTTTGGCAGAAAACTGGGTTTAAATTGCTCATCTGATAATAATAACCGTTGCATTTGATATAGCGCCTCATCACATTGTTGAAACGTCTCAAAGTGCTTCACAGAATATGTTATGGAGTGACTGTGTATTTTGTGGGTGAATGAGTATGCTTTTCCCTTGAATCTGTTGACCTACGGTTCCTCATTCCCTCTGTTCTGCCATCAGTGGCTGAAATCCTCCGACAAAATACCTTTATCTACTTCTCTCTCTGCCTTGAAACCCCTATTAAAAACCTATCTCTTTGACTATGCCTTTAGCCAACACCCTTAAATTCTCCTCCTCCCAGCTCTTTATCGTCTCTGTGAAGTGCTCTGTCCTACGTGAAAAAGTGCCAGTACACATTGATCCATTCACTTAAACATTGACATGTCATAAATTGGGTTAATATCTGGATTATTTTTTCTGTTAAATTACAAGGTATCTCTTAGCTTTTCAAACTCATTGTTCGTCAAAAGTGCCTTTTAAAGTGCCGTGCACCCAATGCATTTGTTAGGTTTTTGTGGTCCAATATTCACGCTGCATTATATAGCTACCATTTGCCATATTATACAACAACAACAACTTGAATTTATATAGCGCCCTTCACCCAGGGTAGCATCCTGGAGCTCTTAAACAGCTACTGTACAACGCAGCAGTGTGATCTAGTTTTCACAGTTTGACCAGCTACAGGCAAATTGAGCTTATTGTTCAGAAAGGCTGGGCAAGTTGCTTCATATTTCCCTGGATTCCTCCCAATAGCAAGGTGTAGACAATCCACGTGTCCGGTTTGTGTTTTAACTATTGTAGTGTTACCTCGGCAACAGAGTACTTTGGCAGATTTATCACCCAAATTAAAAGTGACTTTGTTCCAAGACTCTTGATGACTTTTGAAAATGAACTTGCCGGGAACTGCATCTTTATAATATTAATTTGTCGCTTCCAAAAAGCTAAGACTTCACTGTAAAAGTCTCTTCAAAAAATAATCATAATAATTTGGTCGCTCAATCCACCACTGTTTGTGGGACACTGCTGTGTGCAATTGGCTGCTGCTTTTCGCCCACAAAATATACATTCAGTTCACTTCACAGTATATTCTGTTAAGCACTTTGAGACGTCTCGAAGACATGATGAGGTGCTATATCAAATGCAAGGATTATTATTATTTTTAGCGAACTATTGGACTTATTAGAAATCCTCTGCAAAGGTAGAGAGAGCTTTACTCCAACCCTTTCTTATGTTCTCAAAATCTCTCCTCTCCGCCACTGTTAAGCACTCTGAGATGTTGCCTTGCGTGAAGAGCGCTATATAAATGCAAGTTGTTGTTATAACCTATCTGAGATTGGTGCTGACATAATACAAATAGTCAGGGAAGTGAAATGCATGGCATAAAATATTGGTAGAAATTTTCAAGTTTGAAACTCCAATCTTTGGTCTGAGTCAGTTTGCTATAAATTCAGTTATTTGCAGTAAGTGGAATCACCCTGTAATCTGTGGGAAGATGAGGAGGGCATACTACAGTTAGCAGTAATTGACAACCTATAATCAAGATTGATTAATTGGTTTATTAAAAACCTATAATCAAGGAATTGCATTCTCCTACAAACTATACAGTGTTGATGCTTTGTAATAAATCCTGTGAAGAGCTTTGAAACGTCCTCCCGATTTATGATGTACACAGCACAGAAGGAGGCCATTCGGCCCATCGTGCCTGTGCTGACTCTTCAAAAGAGCTATGTTTTTATATGTATGTATATATATATATATATATATTATATAAACTCTCTCTTACCCGATAGCCCTGCAAATTTTTCCTTTTTTGTTCACAGATTTTATCAAACAAGAGGATTATTTGTTATTTATTATTAAACTGAGAACTGCTGAGTTCAGGTGTTACTATACTTACTTACTTACTTACTTACCACTAGCTTCATGTCAGTTTGACGGCCATTGATTTATTTTTCCTCAGTCAAGCGCTGGATTTTCTTCCAGGGGCAGTTATATTCTGGGAACTGCACATAGCAAAATGACTTGTGGGTGTGTTGGAGGGGTCTGGTGTGCATGCCTTGGCGGAGCTGTAGGAAGGAAGTGGATTCAAGAGAAATGAGCCTCAGCGAGCAAAAGTATATATTTTTCCAATTTTAGAGCTTCAAAAAGGGCAGAGAGTTAATGGCAGGACAAGGGTATAAAGCTCAAATCATTGTATTTCTTCGCAGTATCAACCCACTGGAGTGGAAAAAGCATTGTCATCTCATAGTCCTCTCCCTAATATCACTATTCCTTTTCTGAAACCACCTCTGTGTGATTCTAAGAGCAACTTAACACTCCTGGACCCTACCCCGCATGAAGGGCGCTATATAAATGCAAGTTGTTGTTGTTGATTCAGCACAATAATGTTGTGGAACATAATAATAATCATTGGATCAGGTCTCATTTGCACATAGCACAGTGCTGATTATCTAACACGGGCAAGAAGGGTCCCTGTGAGCTGCAATACTTCGCAAGAGGCTAGTTGAGAAAATGTCTCCACTTTGTCACAGCTTCACTGTGCAGGTTTATTGTTCACAAAAAGATGGGAATGACCAGTATTCTTCTAGGGTCCTATTGTCCGGCCTTATGTCGCCCAGTCACAGTTTCACCAAAAGAACTTTTTTGTGTGTTTCACAGATATAACCTCCTAAAGCTGCTCCAGAAGTTTGGAAAAGTAAAGCAGTTCGACTTTCTGTTTCACAAATCGGGTCCGCTCGAGGGGCAACCCAGGGGCTACTGTTTTGTGAACTTTGAAACAAAAGAGGTAAGTAGATTTCCAGCAGGAACAAAATATTGGGCTGACGATTCAAGAGTGTTGTACAAGCATATTTGCAAAGTGCCTGAAGATCTTCCTATTCGACCGTGCCGACAGTCGACAGACTGCCGACCGTGCCGACAGACCCCTTCCCCCCGACTTGGAATCATGCTCCACCATCTGGGACCCTACCCTGCGTGAGAGTCACCGTATAAATGCACATTGTTGTTGCTGTGTTAGGAACACTACTGTGTGCAAGCGGGACTGGCTGTGGCTGTGCGGTTGTGTTAAAAGTAAAAACCTAATCTGAAAAATCCCAGCAATTGGCTTCTTTGTATTGGAGACTGAACTGGACTGATCTGCTGGTGTCCAGTGTGGTAATAATAATCATAATCCTTGCATTTGATAACACCTGGGTTTCTACTTACTGCTAGGTAAACAGAGGCGCGTGGAGTAAGGCTTTGCCTTGACTGGGCCCTTGCGCGTGCGAAGCAAGTGTTCTATCCAATACACTACAATCATTCAGCCCCTCGAGCATGTTCTACCATTTTATAAGATCATGGCTGATCTATACCTCAAGTCTAGTTACCCGCCCTTGTCCAATATCCTTAATGCCCTGACCTAACACATATCTATCTAACCTAACACATATCATATAAATATATACATGTAGATAGCCAAAGCTTTAACTACAAGCACCAAGGTGACTTGCGTGGCTTTATATAGAAAGCTACTTATTGGGCGTTGGTTGGTGCTTTATGTACTGTGCCACATGTTGGTAGGATGCAGATTCTTCATCACCATTCCCATATGGGCACTTTTCCAACCGCATCTTTGCCAACTGGGAAACGAGCCAGGCCCTTTGGCACAAAGGAAACCATGGTCCACAGCCCTGTCTGCTGTGAACTGCCTCTCACACACCAACTAACGACCAGATCAAAAGCAGTATTAGGAACACATTGTACTTTTTTTTCCACACTTTTTCCAAACGATATGTGGCGACATAAAAAGGAAGGGAAGGCCGTAAAGAAAACAAAACACCAAAAGATTGCATTATGAAATCTGTGACGTCTGCTACAGTCCATGTATGGTTTGTAACTGGAAGGAATTTTGATTTATTTTCACGAGTAGATAATGTTATCACCAATGTATCTCATCATTTGACATTAGTGGTCGAATTGTTAATATGGACATCCAACCACAACAACAACTTGCATTTATAATAGCGCCCCTCACGTAGAGTAACGTCTCAGATGACGCAAAGCTAATGAAGGTGGCAGATTCCTGTTTTATTTTCAGTACCAGCCTTTCATTAGGAACTGTATCCAAGACCTTACCTGAAATCCAGATATACAACATCCACTGCCTTATCCCTATCAAGCTCCTTTGTCACACAATCAAAAGAAAATCAGTAAATGACTTTGTCAGGATCTCCCCTTCATAAATCCATATTGGCTATCTTTTATCATTTTATTACTGTCCAGTTACTCCACGATCATTTTAACAAGAGTCTCCATAACTTTACCCACAATGGACATCAAACTCACTGGTCTGTAGTTTCCTGAAACACTTTTACTACCTCTTTTTTTAAAAATGGGAGTAACATCTACCTTTCTCCAGTCCCCAGACGCCTCTACAGTATCCAGTGATTTGTGAAAGTAGCACTAGAGCTCATCTATCTTTGCAAGCCTGGGCTGAGCGGGCTGCATTTGTGCTTTCTGTCTGCCATCAGCGAACTAGCTAGTGCTTTTAAACTAAATCAAATCTCAGAAAACATAGGTGGAAGGCAAGCATATTGTACACACAACAGTTCTACTCGGAATTCTGTGAAGCACTTTGGGACGTCCTCCCGACGTGAAAAGCGCTATATCAAATGCAAGGATTATTATTATTATAATAAACTGAGTGCAAGTAAGGTATCCGTTCGGACCAAGGCTTCAAATAATAAGTGAGCGTAGTGTCCGTGGTCACCAAATATATAGTCAATTTACTTTGAGGTGTATTCTGTGAAGCGCTTTGAGATGTCTCAACGACGTGATAAGACACTATATCAAATGCAAGGATTATTATTAATAGATAGTTGCCCAGAACACTGAACACGAGGCAAGGTTTTCTTTTTGCTTGTTACCGCTTCAGCCCTAACGTTTGACCCTGAGTATTTTTCTGTTGTAACTCCCTTCCTCTCCTCTGGGACATACTGTTGCTCTTAATAAGACGCAGTCGCGTTTTCACTTATATTAAAAAAAACCTTCAATGTGGAGAGTTTTAGACATAGTGAGCGATTTTGATTTACCACGTCACTTTAACGAGTCCTGCTGACTATTGTTGTTTCCTTCCCTTCGAACCCACCCCCAACTCCTCTCGCTCACTTACTTGCATTAAACAAGAGGGTTTTTTAATAGAAGGTTTACCGCACAAATGACCCAAATGCCATTAAGTGGCGTCTGTTAAGCAAAAATTAACCATATTTTAAAATCTCAGTGCCACACTCACAGAATATCATATTTTCTATTTTTGATGAGTTTGCTTAACTCCTCCCCCCCCCCCCTCCCCATCACCCCCAGGCAAAATCACTGCATCCTGTTTCTAATTTCTGGCGAGACTCCTGTGGTAGAGTAAGCGTTTTACAAAGGGATAGGATTGCCTAAGACTGCAGAGGAGCAAGAATAATTCTGTGAACTGTTCGAATAAACAGGAACTTTCTACCAGCAATTGCTTTGCTCTACTGGCTTTTAATCTATTAAAAAACAATCCAGCTTTAATACTAGATGCGGGTACCACTAATAGCCTTTGAATGCTTTTAAATCCTCCCTCATCTCCTTCAAGGCATGTCTCAAGACCCTCCTCTTCGACCGCACCTTCAACCGCCCTCCTACCCCTACCCTCCCTGCCCTCCACCTCCTGCTTGGGTCCAAATCCCTGACTGTCCAGCGTCTTGGGACGTCCTCCCAACGTGAAATGCGCTACGTAAATGTAATTTGTCGTTGTTGAGTACTTTCCGTAACTTTCTGACTGTGCAATGCGTCACCTTTGCAATTCCTTTGAGATGGGTACCAGTACAGTATTTTGTATGGTATCAGTGTTACACTGTACTTCTGAACTCTTTTTCTGCTTTCCGCTCATTGTTTATCAATTCGTATGTCATTTTTTTGAAAACATAAATACTAAAAATATGTAACGGAAACTTCCTGAATGAACGTCTTAACTTTGTAAATTCACAGCGGAGTCTGGCCAAAAGGGCAGAGTTATTTACTCCCATCTTTTGACCTGTTAAACTGGCTGCTCAACAACAGATTAGTATCGGGGGTGGTAGAGCTGTGAAATCGTGTGAAGTTTGTGGCCTGGCAGAAAAAACAATTCTAATCACTCATAGCTTAAATACTACCTGTGACATGAGCTGGATGTGCGGATAGGAGGAAGTAATATAATAGGGCTGCTATACTGTTATACTAAGTTTTCATCCTTTTTTTTATGATCTGGAGATTGCCTGGATTCTAAGTGGAATTGTCACACCTGATCCTTTCTTCTCAGTGAGATTTTCTCAACATGGAGTGATTCAATAGTAATAATAATTGTTGCATTTTATACAGCACCTTATCACATCTTTGAGACGTCTCAAAGGGCCTCACAGAATATACTGTAAAGTGAATTGATTGCATATAATGTTGGCGAAACACGGCAGCCAATTGTGCAAAGTCCCACAAGCAATGGTGGATTGAGTGCCCAATAATTATTATTTTTTGGAAAGGATTATTACCCCCGGAAAAGCGATCCGCCAATCTACAACCGGGTTCCTAATGACTGCTAGGTAAACCGAGTAAGAAGACAAGCCCAATGTTTCACCCTGCCTGGGAATTAAACCCCGGTCTTCTCGCTTGCGAGGCGATTGCTCTAACCACTGAGCTACAGGACTCCAGAGTCAGATTCAAGGCTTTGGAATTCACACCTAGCCCAACTGTTTGAGCTGTGGAGTGCATAGCCAGGCTGCAACAACCCAGGGGTTAAGATGACATCCTAAACCATGATTGAAACTCGAGTGCTTTGTGATTGTTGTCTGAGCTTCGAGATTACGTTACAGCCCCATCACTCTTAACCGTACTTCGTATAATTGAGTGGTGGGTTATTTTTGTACTTTGAGTGATTGCAAAATCCACTGCCAATGTTTCCCACGGTGGCCTTCTGAAAGCGCTAGTCGTTGCATTGTGACGCAGGTCAGATTAAGACTGGACACAACTATGGTTTTGTATCCAAAGTCCTTGGATGTTTTGGATCAAATCAATGGGACAAATAGCTAATGATAATAGCAATGTGTCCAAAAAAAAATGACCTGGCCACTTGTACGTTTGATTTTCTTAAGTGTATTTTTAGCTGAAAGCTCCAGTTGAGTTGATCATAAGTATTCGCTGGGGATGGCGAAGATTGGCAATGTGATTTAAAACCCAGACCTGGCTCTCCTGTGCATCTAGGAAATTGTAAGGTTAAAAGATAAATAAACTTTATAAACTTACAAAGGTTTAAATGGATTTTTACATGAATCTGTACCATTTTCTTACTGCAGATCATTCACTTTGATTTTCTTCCTTAAGCTGCTGCTCAAAATATTTTAAAGTGAATTGTTGAATCCCTTCCTAATTTGACACTTGCTCGTCTTTGCAACCAACCTTACAAACTTACAGATTTGAACTCTCCTTACCAGCCCTGTACCTAGTTATTGTGTGCCCTGTCATCATCACAAGTATTTTTAACCTGCCCGTGTGTCAGTCTTAGACATTTTTAACATGTGCTGTCGATTAGCAATCATTTTGAGATGTGTTGGAAACCTGTTAGCGCTATATCAAATGCAAGGATTATTATTATTATCATCACAGATGAGTAATTACATATTTTTAGTATGTATTATTATTTTAGAGGTGAATCTACACTGTATTTTTTATTGACCTGGTTCAGTTGTCCTTTCAGGAATGGGTCTGTCAGAACAAGCCTCGTATAAATTTTGCATCACCTCCCTGCTCTTGTATTCAGTGTAAAACCTCGAATAGTCAGATAATTTACATTAGAGATTGAGCTGGATTAGAACTCTTTCCGCTTTTCTTTCCGTAGGAAGCCGAACGGGCCATTCAGTGTTTAAATGGTAAACTCGCCCTTTCGAAGAAGCTGGTGGTGCGCTGGGCACACGCACAAATGAAGGTAAGACATCGTTGCTGATCCTTCAGTGTTTCTCGGCTGCTGTGTCTCTCTCTCTCTCTCTCTCTCTGTGCCATGTGAAGCGAGCAGTCAGTCAATGAGTTGAGTGGGAGTTGGATCCAGGGGTGACACATGTACACACACTACACCCCACCCCATTCCCGCAGACACGCGCACGCACATACACACACACACTCTCCATCGTGCATGCATCAGGATGTACAAGGAGAACGCGTCTTAAATTAACCTGCTCTCCCCCCCCCCCCCCCCCCCGCCTACGAGTAGTGATGGGGGTTAGGTTAGTAGCATTGAGACTTGCCGGTTGCTTGAATTAATATCAAGTCGTTTGCCACCCCACCCCCAACATAGAAGAAACCCTGTGCCTGGAGCCAGGGAATTTTGGCTTCCGTTTCTTAAGCGGAGATTTTAATCGAATTGAAAATCTCTTTGTGTAGGAGAGCAGCTTGGGTTACTATGAAACAGCAGGTCTCTGAGCAGAGTTTGTTTCTGACGCGTACAGTACAGTTAATTGCAACCGTCAGAACGGCCTGATCAGGAGCGATCTCGTCGGGATTTCTATCAGGAGCACTGCCCTGCGAATAATGGAGGACATTGTACAGTCTTGAATTATGACGTGCATCTCGGGTAGGTCGAGAGGGAGGGAGGGAGCGGTGGGGATGGGTGGAGAGAGAGAGATGAAGAGAAGGGATCCTGGTTATTTTCATAAAAGCTACAAGGGCAGGGAGTAGTTAACAGCTGCAAGACATTTCAAAAGTTCCGCCTAGAAAGTTTGAACCAAGGCCAAACTAAACATTTCTGCGGAAGTTGAGCCAAGCCTGCTGATGCTGTCCTGAGCTGCAGGGCCTCCTGCAACAAGGAGCACGGACCCTGGTGTATAAGTTTCAGGGTGGGGAAGATGACTGCTGAGATGAAACTTGCGGTAACTATAGTAACACAGATTTTCCACATCCCCGTTCCCCCCCCCCCCCCCCCCCAACCAAAAAAAAAATTGTGTGCACTGCCTTGGCAGAGACACATACTGGTTATTTTAAACGTCTCTCGCTTGGGTCCTCCTGCAGCTCCGTTCTCTGTTTGGTCCTGTGGTATTTGGGGAATTTCCGAAGCAATTTGATGTGTGCGGCTACTCCAGTCCCCGTGATACCCGCCCGCAACCCCATAAATCACGGCATCGCTCCGGCAATCCACTCCTCCGACAGCAGATCGGATCCCCGTGGAGTTCCCGCAGGTCAGCGCGGAGTATTTCCCGCTAGCGGAAGGCGTTCCCGATTGCTCGGGGTGGATTCCTGACTAAGAAGTCTCGCAGATTAGACCCTCTTTCATCCCCCCTGCCCTCCCTTGCCCTCGCACCCCCCGCACTCTTAACAAGAAATGAATGAGAATTGCCGAAAGCATCGGCCGAACAATTCCTATTAATCCTAGTTTTTAGAATTACGTACCATCGTAAGGGTGTGTTTGAGTCGATCGGTTTGTACGTCACAATTCGTTGGATGATGGAACAGAGACTAGATAATGTATCGGATCATTTTTTTTCACAAAGAGGCAAATGAAGTTGTAGAATTTGTTCAGAACACTAGATGTTTCACTGCAGACTGCAATCTTGACTGCATGAGTGGCGCTATATAAATGTAATACGTTGTTGTTGGTGTGCCCATTAAAAGCGACCTCCTCTATCCTAACCCACAAACGCATTATAAGGATATCCTGTTGAAAACGTGCCTGTTTTTTTTATTTCACTGTGTTGCTTTCGTTCGTCTTTCAATAAAATTTGGGTTACAGACAAAATACTTTTCCAGGTACTTAAACGAGTAAATGAAGCAAAGTATTCGCTTACCTCAGCTGTGAAAATACGCTCTCCAAGGTTTAATACTCGTGGTAGATGCGTTGCAAAGATTACCCGCCTCCGTCCTCTTAAGTGTGTGGAACATGGCCACTGCCAATTTACCACTCACTTGCACAGGGCTTTAAATGTCGAAGCCTTTACTTCTCGAGTCCTAATTAACATTTGTTCGGCTCAGCGTAAAAACGGAGACCAATCACGTACTGCTCGGGACTGATTCACACTTATCATATTTCATCGCTGTCATTGATGATGATAATAGTAATATTATAATAATCTTTGCATTTGATATAGCACTTCATCACGTCGTCAAGAAGTCTCGAAGCACTTCACAGGATACGCTGTAAAGCGTTAGCGACTGTGTATTTTGTAGGCGAAACGCAGCAGCCGATTGCGCACAGCAGTGTCCCACAAATTGATGCTCCTGGCAAGCAGTGCATGTGCATTGGCAGGAATTCTGTGCAGCAAGGCTTGCATACCTTTTCGTCCAACTTCCTTTTGCTTTCGGCCTCTGCAACCTCTTCACAAAGGAGGTCCCAAATTCAGGGTGTGTGTTTATTTTTAACCACCGATGTGCACACGTGAGTGCAAAAAAAAACAAAGTTTATTGTCTTTGTTATGTTTTCCAAGCAGAGGTACGATTCGTTCAAAAATGACAAGGTGCTTCCGATCAGTCTGGATCCATCGTCGAGCACTGAGCCAGCCCAGTCCAACCTCAGGTAAAGTGGAGATCGATTTCCGTTGAGGTGAAAGAGTCGCCGAGACAGTAAAGTTTGCAGAAGTGAAACTGTTCCCTTTAATGTTGTATTTTGCTTTAAAATAGCTCAAGAGCAAGGCTATGGGGAAAGAGCGGAGCAGTGGGACTAATTAGATTGCTCTTTCAAAGAGCTGGCACAGGCACAATAGGCCGAATGGTCTCCTTCTGTGCTGTAGGATTCTACGAAGAGTGCTGTTAAGTGCTCCGAGATGCTATCCCACATGAAGGCCGCTTCTCTAAATGCGAGCTGTTGTTGTTGAAGAGTGTCTATAGTTAACGACTTTTTTTTAGTAAATTTATTAACAACCAGTTACTAAATTTGACTGTATTTTTCTCTCTTTCCTGGCCCCCACCCCCCCCACACACACACATACACTACATACACACACATGCACACGTATAAGCCTTGACACCTGATCTGTTTTTTAAATGGTACCTGTGTATTTTGTGTCCCCAGCGTAAAAACCATTGCAACTTTGAGTTAAACAAACCGCCCATTATGCTTAGCCTTGCCTCTGGCTGGCCCGTGAATGCAGTGAAAGTTCAACCTGGGTAACGGTTATGTTAAACCCAGTCTTTAATAATAATATTATAATAATCCTTGCATTTGATGCATCACGCCCTATCACGTCAGTGAGACGTCTCAAAGCGCTTCACAGAATATACTGTTAAGTGAATTGACTATATATTGTGTGGGCGAAATGCAGCAGCCAATTCCGCACAGCAGTGTCCCACAAACAGTTATGGATTGAGTGTGTTTTTGGAGGGATTATTACCCCCGGAAAGTTATCTGCCAATTGACTAACATATGGGTACCTACTTACTGCTAAGTAAACAGAGGTATGTAGAGTAAGGAAACTTACACTCTGTAGGTTTCACTCTGCAAACGGGTAAAACGATCGTGAACATATTGGGACCTTGGGCTGAGTTGCTGGGAGTCCAGGGTTACCAGACATGTCAATTGTGAGAGCATCCCCCAATCAGGTTTACTTACAAGAGTTTAGGAAGTTTATAGCTGTTTGGAAATAAGAAAGGAGTGAGGGAAATAGGAAGAAAGCTTGCACAGATGTAACTTGCACTGCAAGGTGAGGGAACATCTGCAACAAGCCCTAAAATAGGACAGACTTGGTCAGCTCTAGCGTGAGAATGTTTTTCAGGCCAAGGTTACATCCTGTGACTTTTATTTCATCTCCTGTGCTGACTCTGTTCAGCCCCGAGTGTGAGGTGGTGGGTTCTGTTCTGCCCCCACGGCTGACGAGGATGTATTGCAAACGGTGCTTGTTAGCACAGGAAGAGCACAGAAAGTTTTGTTAATAAAAAAAATTAAACTTAGATAAACGCTTGAAAAAAGAAGGCATATTAAAGTATATTCGCCCACAAAATACACAGCCACTCCACTTCACAATACATCCTGTGAAGCGTTTTGAGATGACTCAACGATGTGATTAGGTGCTATATCAAATGCAAGGATTATTATTATTGTTATCACTATTATTGATGAGCGGGAGAGTGGGATTGGATTAGATGACTCGTGGAGAAATACATCAACGCAGATTCGGTGGCTGAACGGCCTGTTTCTGTGCTGTAACATTGTATGATTTTTCTTTACGTTTGTAGAAATCTAGGAAAGAAGGAAATTTGTGCCGCAATGGAATTAAAGGCTGATTACAATGATGCCTTGTGTATCTATCACAATGGCGATTTATGAAAACCCATTCTTTCGTGCATTTAATGCAACACTTTTCTATTTTTTTCTTTTTTTAAAAAAAAGACTTTTTCATAAGCTGTGTTGTACTGCTACATATCAATGGAACCAGAGAAGGAAGCAGGAATGTTTATTTTGATGCATTCGCCGAAAGACTTTGGCAAATAATATGTTGAAACCATTTTAATGAAGAGCAGACCTGGTGATTTCGGAAAGTCCATTTGCCATTGATTTCTCAAAGCTCTCGAGTCATGTCCTAATGTCTCTATCTCTCTCTCTTTCTCTCTCTCTCTCTCTCTCTCTCTCTCCGCAGCATCAGTGCAAAAATAAAAGCAATCGAAACCAAACTTAAAATGATGGCTGACAATCCAGATGCGGAATACAAAGGGCCCCCACCTTACACGTACAATAGGACCACAGACAAAAAAGCGTCTGGCAAGTCACGGACTGCTCCCTACACGAGACTTTCTCGCAAACCCACGTAATGATTAACACCAGGGAAGGAAAAAAAACACGACACTTTCGTAATCATTTATCTCCGTACGACTTTCAGCGTCGCTGCAGAACCTGCCAAATCCCCGTGCAGCGACTTAAAGGTTTTCACGACCTCTTTTTTTTTCTCCTTTTTTTGTAATAAAAAAAATTCTTTCAAGCCGTTTCTGTCTCTATAAGTAAATTCAAACGGGCGCCGGCGGAGTCAACGGGACCGAGCAGTCTCCTCTCCATCTCTTGCTCGTTCGGGGAAACACTCGCTGGATTTGGAGCATCGATCGTGTCTGTGGTTTTGTCAGTGGGGAAGCGAACGAAAAATAAAAACACACTGCGAATGTACGGATGCACAGACCAGACCCGTCTTAATCTGCAACGAGCTTCACAGTAAGTCCGAGTGCTGCAGATTCTTGGGCGTTCTTTTTACCCTAAGCTATACTTCGAATTAAGTGTCACTGCAGGAAACAATCTCGATATTTGTGAGTGAATATCCTAGAGTTTTACAGCACACAAAGGGAGGGCATTCAGCCCATCAAGCCTGTGCTGGCTCTCTGAAAAAGCTATCCTCTGCGTCCCTTGCTCTGTCCTATTTTTTTTTGGGGGGGGGGTCAACTGAGTATCTGACATGTGCAGAAACCCATCACCAGGCTTAAGGGTAACCTCATAACTCCTTTATATGTAATGTTCGTTTTAAGTATCAAATCCAACCCTCCACCCCCCCCCCCCCCCGACCTTTAGTTACCAGTTTGTACTGCTTGATTCTCTTACTGTTTCGCCCACAAAATATACAGTCACTCTAGTATATTCTGTGAAGCGTTTTGAGATGTCTCAACGATGTGATAAGGCGCTATATCAAATGCAAGGATTATTATTTTATGTGCTGATGGTAAACTACGCTGAGAGCAACGTACTTGCAAACCAGGTTCAGAAAAGTGCTGTGAATTGTTGTAAAATGCGACTGGATTACAATTTTTTTTTAAACTCGCTTGGTTTTGTACTGTTAAATATGTGATCCTAATAAATGTGGAAAGGAAAGACTGATGGTTTATTTGAATTGCATTTTAGCATGCTAAATGTGTAGCATTCTGAAATATTTTTTGCTTCATATCAAGTCAATCCAATTTTTTACACAAATTTGTGTGGGGGTAATAATCCCTTTAAAAAATACATTTTAAAAAATAATAATAATTTGATCACTTAATCCACGACTGTTTGGGGAGGACACTGCTGCGTGCAATTGGCTGCTGCGTTTTGCCCATAAAATATACAGTCAATTCATTTTACAGTATATTCTTTGAGACGTCTCAAAGGCATGATAAGGCGCCATATCAAATGCAAGGATTATTATATTATTGTAACTCACAGATCTCTGTTTCCCCGCCTCACTTCCTATGGATCAATAACGTTTTTAATATTATTTTTCTTCACATACTACAATATGCACTTACAATTGTCAGGTATATAAAGGTCACCACAGTAAATTCAGCACTGAAATGTTTGTGTATATATACATATATATTTGTGCATATTGAAACGTTTCTGCATATTTGGGGGAAAAAATTTGGCGAAGCAACCCGAAACTTTTCAGTGAGCGTCACTAATGTGACCTCTTCACTGCGATTAGTTTTGCTGATTTGTAACTCGGCTTGACAGGCTGGGGCGGTGGTATGTTCACTGCTTGAAGCAGTGTTTATGATAGATTCCACCCCCCCCCACACCCCCCCCCCCCCCCCCCCCAACCCAACCCACTCCACTCCGCTAGAGAGAGCTTTCTCTTTTACAGTGCTTGCAAAACGAAATATCCTGGCCAAGTGGTATGCCCTTCCTTCAAGCACCAGTATAGTTGCCAGTATAGTTGTGCAACGTAGTTATGTGAAAACTGGGTTTGGAATTACAGTAAACCTCACAGAAGTCTTATCAGTTGGACCATATAATTAATAGGACTTATGCAAAGTATGAGTTATGTGCAGATGTACGACTTAGGCAATTATATGATTTATACAGATTTGAATTGTGCAAGTTTTACTCTATTGAGAAAAACACCAGTGAATTATTACAGAGCTCAGTCACCAGTTCTAAGTGGAGTCCTGTAGCTCAGTGGTTAGAACACTCGCTTTGCAAGCGAGAGACCTGAGTTCAATTCCAGGCAGAGGGCGAAACCTTGGGCAAGTTTCCTTACTCCACACAGAGCCTAATAATAATCCCTCCAAAAACCAAAAACAATAATAAATTGGTCATTTTCAATCTACGACTGTTTGTGGGACATTGCTGTGCGCAATTGGCTGCCGCGTTCGCCCTCAAATATACAGTCAATTCACTTTACAGTATATTCTGTGAAGCGCTTTGGGACGTCCTCTCGACGTGAAAAGCGCTATATCAAATGCAAGGATTATTATTATTATTATTATTAAAGTTACACGAGCTCAAGTTAAGTCTTTTTCGAGGACAGCTTTTTCTCTCAGCACCAGTGAGTATTTTCTACTTGTTTAGACCAAACCAACTCAGTCTTAGGAACCAGCTGACTGTATCCCCATCATCTTGCCCAGGTCTTTTCTGTACAAATCTCAGCCCGAATTAAACCCTCACTGGAAAGAAAACAGCTGAATTGTGGAATTGTGTTGTAAATTATCACGTTTAGTTGGGGCGGGGAACACAGTTTTATATTTGTAGTCTGAAATTTTGTCTTTCTCTCCCACCAACCCCAAGAGATCAATTTAGAAACTACTTTTATGTGCTCAACTTTGACTTACAGGTGAATCTATTCTGAAGACTTTAATTAGTGATTGTGGGAAAAAAAAGTTGTGAAACACTTTACCATTTAAGAGTTACAGTACTACACACTGCAGTGTAAGGTGTAAATTATAACTTTCACGTGTGTGATGTTAAGAAGATGGATGTGTTCGTTTTTAGATTTTATCGACTGATGTTTTTTTGAGTTGTAAAAAGCAAGGTTTTCCTTTTCTGTAATTTTTTGGATTCTTTTAGAATTGAGCATTAAAAGTGAAATGTTTTTTCAAAGATTCAAGTGTGTGTGTCTGATCCATTGCTGTGCACAATTGGCTGCCGCATTTCGCCCGCAAAATACATAGTCAATTCCCTTTACAGTATATCCTGTGAAGTGCTTTGAGATGTCTTGAAGATGTGCTATATCAGATGTAAGGATTATTATGTAAGGATAATTATTATAACCAAAGCTACAATGAAAGCAATCCTACATATTTTGCTTTTCTTTGATTTATTGATCTCTGTTTCACAGATTAATTCTATTGTGCTACATGGTGGTTTATATAAAAAAAGCTAATGGCGTTTTTTTTTAAAAATAGCTGCCCTTTTTTGTACAAAGTTCTGAAATAGAGTTAACAAAAAACATTCTGTGTTTTAAACTTGTGAACCTTAGAAATATATTTTCTCACACACACACACATCTAAGAGGGTTCAATTTCTGTTTAAAAAATTCCAATATGTGTCTTTCTTTGCTCTACATAACGTTTTAAAACATCTGCAAATATTAAATATGACATGTATTAAAATGTTCTATATCTGCAGAGGGAGTGAATGAATCAGTGAGGCACGAGAGAGAGAGAGAGAGAGAGAAGTACATTTCATTTTTTGGGGGTGTTTACATAGGAAAACAACACACTGCAATTTTCTACACATGTCCACGCACTTTTACACAGACATCTCATCCACAGACAACGTTGAAACATTGCTCCCTTGTATGAAGGTGTTTGTGAAAAGTTTCAGACTTAATTCGATCGCCACAGTCGGCTTGGTTGCACAAATCTGTTTTTCTTTGTGTAATTAGGAATGTAACTCGTGAGGAAATGGAAGTGTTTGCCCCCAGTCATGTTGGACCTGGGCTGGTTCATTGTTTGGAAAGAAAACACAATTTTGATGACACTGGCACTCAAAAAGTTTCAGAGGCGAATACCAGAATTATCAGTTTGATGGCTGTTTTTTTTCCCCCACCCCCCAAAAAAAATAAGTTTTTAATGAGGAACAGGACAAATTGAGATACTCGTATGCTTGGAAATCAAATGTGACTTGTATCACTTCAAAGTTAGTGCTGAGTGAGAGAGAGAGAGAGAGAGAGAAGAGCTCTGTTTGTTTGTTCAGGGATGTAAGGAGGAGAATTCTAGGTTTTACTGTAAATAGTAGCAGAAAAATCTCTTTGGATGTCAAGGTTGCTTTCAGTTTCCTGATGTTCAAGTGGTAAAAGTGGATAAGAAAGGTGTCCACACCAAAATACAGTCACAACATGCAACCTGTCTTAAATTGTAACTTAAGTCGGGTACCTCAACCGTCGCTACAACTTGCTTTCACCACTAAACCGGGTTATCCAGCCGGCTGAGGAGACTTAAAAGATCTCACAATTTTAGCCACTTGAGTCTGAACCGTACAATCAGAGCGGCGATATATTTATTATTGCCTTCTCAATGTAGGAAAACTGGCAATGCAGTTAGTCAGTGCAGGAAGGGAATGAATGCCTTTCTTAATGTACATTAAAGGTTAAAAAAAGAAGAGGGGTGATCTGTGGCTGGAAATTCATATTGCTTTCTGCTTAAAGTAGCACTTCGAGTATGAAAAAAAAAGATAAATAGGATGAATTGGGACTTGGCCTTGTGAGGGGGTGGGGGGTGGTGGTGGGGGGGGGGGGGAGAAACTTTAGTCTAAAACGAAAACAAGTTGAACAGTACTTAGATGGGGTTGGAATAGAGCTTTGTTTGGAGGGATTGGTTTTATTGATTAATACATTAGTCAAATAAAAGAAATGAATTAGTTCAATAAATAAAATAGATGAGTTAATTCGTTTTAGAATGAGATTCACACACACACACGTCGAAGTTAAAACCCAGAGACTACAAAAAAATGGTTAAAATGACTGTATTTGGCGATTGGGGAGAATAAATATCGTCGAGAACAACGCTTTGGATGTGCTTATATTTACATTTAAACCATTTTTTTCGCGTGTGGTGGGGGTGGGGTTAAGAAAAAGTGTTTTAATACTTACCCAGACAATTCTGGTAAATATTGAGCTATATGATTTTATTTGTCTATCTACCTGTGGGGGAAGGGAAAGCACAGTGCCATATTTTATCATCATTTTCTTGACGTTAGGACAAGAAGAACACTTTTTTTTTCTCCACAATTTGGACTGTATCCAGTCGAGAAATTTCACTTGGCTCTTGTGGGGTTTTTTTTTTTTTTGGGGGGGGGGGGTAGGGGGGGTAGGGTGTGGGTGTGGGCAGTGGGGCAAGTAAGGAAATAGAGGTAATGTTTAATTAAATAGAGTGCAATGAGTGTATCGCATGCAGCAAGTGCTGGGTTGACATAAACATGGATCGATAGAATAGAACTGGAACCGTTTGCAGTTTGTGAATCTCTGTGCACCTAATCGTGAGCGGTTGAAACAAAAACAACACTGTGCAGAACTGAAGCACTGTATTTAATGGGATGTGTGTGATGTGTCTGTGAGAGAGAGAGAGAGAGAGACTGACTTGCAGAGATTCCTTCTGAATTTTGTTGCTGCATTTATTGGCTCGAACTACCAGAGCTGTGGTCCACTGATCTCCTGACAGACCTGGGAAACTACCTGCTGCTGCTTGACTGACCTGATACCCAAATGCAAGGAATAGTATTAATATTATTGTCTGTGCCCAAAGTGGTGGGTGAATTCTGACCTCATTCTGCTATAATAATAATAATATATACAATAATCTTTGCGCCTTGTGTGGTTGAAACGTCTCAAATTATATTTTAAAAGCAACGATACAAGTTGTGCCTTTCAGTACAGTATTGCACTTGTCTATATCTGAGTGACAGTCTGTTCATAGCTGATCGTTTCATTTTCCTTTATATATATATATAATGATAACCCCCAAAAATACAACACATGCACCTAACCTTATGCAACCAACGCGCAAAGTAACATTATTTATAATATTATTGATATTATTTATGGTTGCGGCACTATGCCAAATGCAAGGATTCAAATTATTATTATTATTATGACCATAATAATGGAAGCGGCGACATAAAGAAACACAAACACATCTGGTGGGAGAGAAAAAATGGGAGTTTTTTTTTAATATTTAAAAAGAATATATAAATCACACCCCTCTGTTTGCAAAAGCGATGTGAGCAACTGTGTCAGTCCCCCATAATCTCTACAATGTGCAGTCATAACAAGTCAGTCAGGTAAGGTAGACAGATCCCACAAGGTTTTTGTGTGTGTGTGTATGTGTGTGTGTGTGTGGTGGGGAATAAATGACATATCTGATCAATTTACTGCACCGTTATACTTGCGGGAGATCAGAAATCTCTTAAAAATGAAACCCCCCGCAAAAAAAAACACATTTAAAACGCTTTTGGGCTTTGCTGTGGATCATTTAGACTTTTGCAACTGTTTGCAAACAAGCAATTAAATCTCGAGAGAGAGAGAGAGAGTGAGAGAGAGAGACAGAGAGAGAGAAATCAGTGATCAGCGTTCAAATGAATCACTTTCATGTAAAAACCGAAATGAACATTTTGCATTACCTTTCGCGTCGGTGCTCGTATCTCTGTGCGGTTTGTCCCGGGTTCTGGGCAACAACAACAAAAAAAAAAGAGGGGCAGCTGGAAAAGCACCAGAGATTTCTTTTCTTAATAAAAGCCATGAAAGAAAATTGCTCAGGTTGTTTTGCAGGAAGCAACAAAACACGCACACGCAAAGGTAAGTCGTGTTCATTCCCACGTATTTCATTCTCCCCCTTCCAGCTATTTTTTTGCTAAACTTTTTGAAGTCAAACACAGCAAAAAAAAATTATATTAAACGTGCCAAGACTTTGCACTCACACCACACACACACACACACACACACAGAGAGAGAGAGAGAGAGAGAGAGGTATCCGAATCCCCCACATGAGGACATTGCTTAAAAGTTTCATTGTGCTCTGTGTGTTAACTAAGAAATCGCTTCATTAATGCGCAGCGTCGCAGTTATCGAACGAACACCTTACCTATACCGTTTAAGACTTGGTGCAAAAAAAAAGTTGACCTGAACCACCATCAAATGCAAGGATTATTATAATTATTAAACCACGCAGTTGTCTGTGGACCAAAGAAATGCATCGCCTCTCTCTCTCTCTCTCTCTCCCCTACACACACACACACACACACTGTCTGGTACAACCCAATGTGCTTGAAACCAGACGGGTGTGTGTGTATGTGTGTGTCTGTGTTTGTGCAGATTTAATCTCTGCAATACTGTCTGGGCCCTAAAAAAGAAGTCAACTCATTCAGATGGTGTAGAAAATATCTCAGACTTCAAAACGTGTTTCGCTCACAAAATACTCAGTCAATTGACTTTACAGAATATTCTGGGAAGCGCTTTGTGATGACTCGACGACATGCTATATCAAATGTAAGGATTATTATTACATAAAAAGATTAAAATCGGATTAAGTAAAGGTTTCAAGGCATATCTAAATCATTGTCGCTCCCACCTCCTTTGGCTATCTACAGTAAACTCCTGATAACTGCCTTAACTTGTCACTACCACGTAAGTCATCATGCTATCAACATCCTGACTGCATTTATTTATGTATTTATACACATGTCTAACTCGCTGCTCCAGGTAACTTGCCGCTGAGCCCTTTTCCCTGAGAGTGACGAGCTATGAGGAGTTTACTGTCACCCAACAGAGATACCAGACATGTCTCATGAAGGCTAAGGTTCAGGGTCTGCACACAAGTTCACAGACTCTTCCAACAACAGCAGCAACAACAGATTGCATTTATACAGCACCTTTCACGTCGGGAGGGTGTCCCATGGCGCTGGACAATGAGGGGTTTGCACCCGAGCTGGGGGTTGAGATGAAAGAGTGGGGGGTGGAGAAGAGGACAAGGGGGGAAGATGACCGAAGGTACAACAGCAACAAAAAAAATCACATTTGTACAGCGCCTTTCACATCAGGAGGACGTCCAAAAAGGAATGTGTTCTTCCCCACTATTATTGGGGCTTGTGGGGGGGGGGGGCAATCAAAGTTGAAAGGTAGCAGGTAGTGACCAACTTCACAGGATAATTTTAGTTCATTTTTTCCTTCCCTCTCCCGCTCCTTCCCTCATTAATTCACTGTATATATAAAATGACGAAGATCACAATTCCTCTTCAGCCCTGGTTTCTTGTGGCCTCCACTATTAACAGTCAGACATCTCCCACCACCCACCCCCCACCCATCCTCCTCACACACACACACACACACAGCCTCGCCTCACCACCACCCACTGCACTAATAGTCACCACCTGCAAATGGTAATGGGTGTTTATATTATTATTTGCTGTGCCAATGTATCATCATCCAGCTACAATTTAGCTTGGCAAGCTGACAAATGAATCACGTAAATTGAACTTGCAATGGCTAAGGTTTCGCCCACAGAAACACACAGTCAATTCATTTACAATTCACTTTACAGTATATTCTGTGAAGGGTTTTGAGACGTCTCATCGACGGGATAAGGAGCTCCATCAAATGCAAAGGTTATTAATCCACGACCGTTTGTGGGGCACCGATGTGCAACATTGACTGCAGTCAAAATATACAGTCGATCCCCTTTACGATATATTTTGTTAAGCGCTTTGAGACGTCTCGATGACGTGATGAGGCACCATATCAAAGGCAAGGATTACTATTGTTATTAGATGACCTCTGGCCACTTTTGTGCGGTGAAGTTGAACCGGCTTGTGATGCCAGAGTGAGATCAGA